GTCGCCTTAAATCTCTATCGGAAAATTCAAAGACGTCACCCGATAAATTTTAAACGTAGCTCGAGATAACTATTAGTAAATTATCTTGTAAAACAACTACTTTTTTCTTGTATACGTTTTTTTTTAAAAGTTTTGCGCAATTTCTAAGTTTTGATGTCCGGTGATAAGATTCCGTCATCATAAGCAAATCCAGAAGTAAACGAGACGTTGAACGTTCAATGTTACGTTAATAATTATATCCCCTGTTACTGTATCGACTCTCCTTATAAGAACATACAAAATGTACGATACACTAGCAGGGTCAAATAATGACTCATCCAAGTCATCATCAAGTCTGGGAGAATATGATCTATTAATAAGTTGTTTTGTCTTTGAACTAGCTTGAAGTAACGGCGAGCACTTAGTTACTTTTGTCTTTATGTTAGTAGTTTTTTGGGTTTGTGCCAATCTGATGAGTTAAGACATTTCAAACTGAGTTTTAAAGAATATATGCTGTTACACCACTGTTCTATGTTAGGGGGAGTGTTGAGTGCTAACAAACGTATTAAGCTTCGATACATTCTATATATGCCTGTCCCAAGTAAGGACCCTATAATGTAGTGGTAGTCGGTGGTTGTTGTCTGTCATTTGTTTTTCGTTTATTGTTTTGTCATAAATCATGGGCGTTTGTTTTTTCGTTTGAATACACCTTATCGCTAATCCCGCTTGACCCGAGAATCAGTCCCGCTCGAACTTTTGACGTCATACAACAATCACTTTTCCATTGTGGCGTCAGATATTTTCTATTATGACGTCAAAATTATACGGGAACTTGTGTTATGTCCAGTAATGGCGGACAAATAGCGATAAGGTGTATTGTTTCACATTGTTTTATGTCGGGCCTTTTTAGCTGACTATACGATATCGGTTTTGCTCATTGTTGAAGGCTATACGGTAACCAATAGTTACTTAAATATCCGTCTTTCTTTGGACTCTGCTGGAAAGTTGTCTCATTGAAAATCATACCGCATTGCATTATCGCATCTAGAGAACTTTTCTGTAGCATATGCCCTATTAATGTTAATGTTTCAATGTGCAGAAACTGACCTTTAGTGCATAGGAAATACAGATCAGAAGAGTTTTTTTTTTATAAAAATAAGAATATGTAGTATAATTTCAAATGAGACAACTCTCCACCAGAGACCAAATAACATAGAAGTTAACAACTACAGGTCAACGTACAGCCTTCAACAATGAAGCATAGTCTGCTATAAAAGGCCCCGAAATGACAAATGTAAAACAATTCAAACGAGAAAACTAACGGCCTGATTTATGTACAAAACAATGAACGAAATACAAATATGATATACAGCAACAAACGACAACCTCTGAATGACATGCTCCTGACTTGGGACAGGCACATACAGAATGTGGCGGGGTTAAACATATTTGAGGGCGCCCAACCCTCGACAGTGGTGTAACAGAACAACATATGAACAAACTATAAAAATCAGTTGAAAAGGGTTTAACTCATCAGATCGATACAAAGCAGAAAAACAAGTAACAAAAACACAGACCGAGACGTGGCAGGGTATTTATGCATCCCTACAACAACAAAAAAAGACACTAAGTACAACGGGATTAAAATCCCAGCTTCTGTACCAATACCTCCTGCGCCGTGTTCAGCGCCCAAGACCACTTGGCCAACTTAGCTTTACAAAATATAGCTTTCAAGTAATGCTAGGACACAGTGTAGGGGCAGAAGGAGGGGTTCGGATCTGGCTGAATGAAGAGCAAAAAGAGAGGCGAAGGATACCAAAAAGTAAAACAACAAAAATACCGAACTCCTAGGAAAATATCTGGTGTCATCTGTGAAACAGATATTCCATAACGATCAGCCTACTCGTGGTGGCGTCCTTAAATTTACAAAGGGACAATTTCAATTTCACCATTTGAAACTCTTGGTTTAATAGCTTCCTTGAGACAGCAACCCTCTTTTAAAAAAATCATGATTTTCGACTTGTGGGTTTGATCAAAATTTGCTAATGTAAATTTTGCCGATCGAACATTTAAAACGAAGTGTATATAAAAAAGATATTGACTGATTATAACCTATCTTTGCATGGATGGTCTTTTCCGGAGTAAATCAATATGGAGTCATAGTTTTGCTCATCCGTCTGTGGACTTGATATTAGGTCAAATCTCAATGCGAACTTAAGTTGGTAATTACATAACAGTTGGATAATACCGAGAGTGATATAGTACCATTTAGTGATTTTCTTTCTCAATTTATTTTGTACAGATTTGCTTGTCCTTTGCTCTAAAACAGAGTAGCCATATTATATTATATTATAGCATAACAAATAAATTGGTCGCGTGAAAACAATGAACTGGAATAAAGAAAATTCCTATGTATACAGTTTAAATAAACATAGTCACGGTAGGTATAGTGTCCGGCTAGGATCGTGGTTTTTCGGGTGATTTGATCGGGTTTTTTCGAGTGTGTCCAATTTTTTTCGAGTGAATATGATCAAAAATGTAAACAAACAGACTTACTTTCTGAAAAGACGTGACATAGAAGCTTGAGTTTAATATACAAGGATATACAAGGTGTGTTAGTATTTGAGATAAAAAGATATTATCAATCCGACATTATTTTTCGTTCAAAAAGTTGAATTAAGCCTTACAATGCTTTTATTCCAAAAACAGAATAAAGCCATTCTTATACACATACCAATGCAAACGTCGTTGGAAATGCATACATGGAATCCATATATCCTTAGATATACAGACACTTTACAAAAAGTCTTGTTGTTGTATTGAAAAACGATATTTTGAGACTAAATTCATTTCTATGTGTTCGGGTTTTTTCGAGAGCAGTCTGGGCTTTTTCGAGTGCGTCCTTGTTTTATCGAGTGATTATACAAATTTCCTATAGCTTAGAATGTTGTGTGTCAGTGTATTCACGTTTAAAAACAATAAAAAAGGGTTCAAATTATGTACTTTTTAATGCACGAAACCAATGAATTCATCAGTTTAATAAAGGTGTACTAACACTTAGACTTTATAAACAAGTATCAGCCATCTGTATATATTGTTGTTTGTCACATCTAATAAATTACATGTATAGTATATATTCATGATGTCAACAATCTAATGTAAGCATAGACAATTTGGATTGAGACGTACGTACAAAGAGTGAATTAAGCTGATGAATTATTCATTTCATTGTTAACTATATATGAAATTTAATTCAGATATTATTGTCAATGGGAATAAAAACTGGTCGGATAAAGTGTCTTTTAGTAGAATATTTTTTATTACATATAAAAAAAGAAGATAATGAGACAACTCTCCACAAGAGACCAAATGACACAAAAATTAACAACTATAGCCCACCGTACGGCCTTCAACAATGAGCAAAGCCCATACCGCATAGTCAGCTATAAAAGGCCTCGAAATGACAAATGTAAAACAATTCAAACGAGAAAGCTAACGGCCTAATTTATGTAAAAAAATAAACGAAAAACAAATATATACACATCAACAAACGACAACCATTGAATAACAGGCTCCTGACTTGGGACAGGCACATACATACAGAATGTGGCGGGGTTAAACATGTTAGCGGGATCCCAACCATCCCCCTAACCTGGTACAGTGGTGTAACAGTACAACATAAGAACGAACTATAAAAATCAGTTGAAATTTAATACTTATGGAACAAGTTCATTATAGATAGAGATAACTGTAAACAGCAAGAATGTTCAGTAAAGTAAGATCTACAAACAAGTCACCATCACCAAAACAGAATTATATTCTTGTCTTTAATGTAGAAGAGTGTCCATTGTTTAATATGCACTGCAGCACATAGACCAAGGTGAGCGACACAGGCTCTTTAGAGCCTCTAGTTTGTTTAATAAAATCCTATAACTCGAAAACGTAAAATCTAAAATTTATAAAATTCGAAAGGGAGGATACCTCAATAGATAAAAAAAATTCAACGAAGTTTCATGTAAATTGGTTAAAGCGTTTTTTAGTTCTGTCCGACATGCTGACGACGGACGGACAACGGTATACCATAATACATACCGTATAAAAACTCCGGGGTTCACCACGAAAAATATTATTAACTGTGACAACAAAAATACCATAAAATGAAGTTACAAAGATTATGAGTCTCCTGCACTATGTTCTTAAGACCTTTTTATAAAGGATCCAATAATTTCCAATTCAATACTGGAAAGTTGTGGTAGAACGTTTTCCGAACAAAAAACTTGCATTAAATTGAAAAAGGTTAATTTTGATCAACGTAGTAATATGTTTTGGTGATTTATTGAGAATATACGATATTTTCATTCATTAACTATGATTACATTTATATACTAGAAAAGTAATTTTTTAAAGTCAGAAATAACTTTTTTCTTATTAAAATTTTCGTTAAAAAACCCGGACCATTTGTTTAAAAACCCGGACGGTTTTACAGTTCCTCTCGAAAAAGCCCGGACAATAACAAACACTGAATTTTTATATAAAAATTGTTAAATACAAGGAAATCGTGCTTCTTTTTTACTCAAAACATGTATAGCATTCAAAATAAGATGGGTAGTCACGTAAAAACTATTATAATTACGAATTAGTAGTTAATTGACATGATCGCATGTTTTATCACTCGAAAAAGCCCGATCTACACTCGAAAAAAATGGATAGATTCACTCGAAAAACCACGATCCTAGCCGGACACTATACCTACCGTGATAGTATTAATAGGAATTACAATTAACAATATCTAAGATGTATTTTGATATAAATTCCCGGAATAAGTTCAAGTAAAGAAAACATGCCACGTAATGCATTTTCCTAGAAAAAATAAATTTTCAAGAGATAAATAATAAACGATAAGTTTCTAAAGTATGAACCTTTTCTATTGGTCAATGTATGTCTTTCCATAATGGGCGTGTCCTGTGTCTGTTTTACTTATATAAAGCTAACAGAAGACATAATCTTTTATACTGCGTTTTTTGTAATTTACATGTAAGTATGCATTGAACAGAAAAATACTATTTTTTATATACTTGATTTGGTTGAACATGTTAAATGATCAATGTTTTACATATTTAGAAAATGTCTTTGTTAATTTCAATTGAAAGCAATTGATTTTATTATAAATAAAACGTACAGAAATCAATAGTTTCTGCACAAATTATAATTAAACAAAAGTTATTGTGAAATAGTGTTGAATGCTATATATGTAAAAATAGCAAACAAGCTTCTAGTACTTTATTCACTTTTCAATAATAATACAGACTAGTATAAATACTTATGGCATAAGTAATTTTTTCCAAAATGTTTCATATATCAGATCTTAATAATTTCGCAATAGACCGATCAAATATGTCTGGACATGGTAAAGGCAAGTCATCAGCAGACAGAAGAAATAGCACGGAAGAACCTAAATCACCAGACGATAAGGACAAATCTGGAAAAGAAGTCAGCAGCAAAACTTCTGGAGATAAACAAGAAGGTAAGCTGTATATTGAATTTTAATTCATTTCACTCTCTATGTATGACTTATGCTAGATTATTCTTTAGGTGATTAAAAATATTTGAATTTTATATTTGTTATGAATTTTATGAAATATTTAAAAGTAAAATAGCAAAAATACCGAACTCCAAGGAAAATTCAAAACAGAAAGTCATTCATCAAATGGCAAAATCAAAAGCTCAAAAACATCAAACGAATGGAAAACAACTGTCATATTCCCGACTTGGTACGGGCATTTCATTATGTAGAAAATGGTTGATTAAACCTGTTTTACAGCTAGCTAAACGTTTTGCTTTTTAGATTACATCTTAATATGTTTTAATTTATTGCATTCCAGGTACCATGGTAAAAAATATAATGATGGGTAAGCATATGTAATATATGTTAAGATCAATTCAAACGAATATTCTCGAATTGTTATTTAAGAATTGAATGCTCCTTTTTGTAAATTTATTGGGGTGTAAAAGCGTTGACCGAAGTACATTTTGTATGAAGCGCGGAAGCGCTTCATTCTAAAAATGTGCGCACGATTTCTATCAAGTTTTTCTTTTATTTACCTGTGCACTTTATTGTAGAAGCTCGTGTCATCATGAATGTTACATTTCATTTTGAAATGAAGGTTAATTTCAGAATGACGCGAGATTGCTGTTAGCCAATCAAAATAACGTATTATAATGAAACATACATGTAATGTAATTATTGCTAAATAAACATTATGTTGCATTCAGATAAAAGAATATGGACACAGAAAATAACTAATACATTTTTTTTTCTTTTCTTATAAACCTTTTCGAGTAGTTTGAATTGTTTTTCAACGCAAAATAATTATCTAAGATATCTGAAACTATCACATTTCGATAAAAGATCTCTTTCGTTTACTTATTGTACCCCGAACTTTTAACCTTTTGTAGGATTAAAGTTGATGTTATATTAACTAAAAGTTAGAATCAGGGGGTCCAGAATGGGGTTGAAAAAAAACGGCAAGCAAATACCATTACTCTCAATTTCAAAGAACAAAATACATGGCTGAAAACTACTACCTTTATTTCAAATATTTTAAAACTATGGTTAGTAGCTCCTGTCTTATTAATGTATTGTATTAAAGAGAGGTCCAACATAGGCATGAATTTTGTACAACCAAGTTTTATTATATTATCTATGTTAATCAACTGAATTACAAAATGAAAAATCCTTGCTTTGAAAAGTTGAAGTTCAAAAATAAAAATTTACCCAAAAGTTACAAAACAATGTGTAATAAATTAATGATTAAATCACGTTACTACCATTTAATCGGCCAGTGAAAATATCAGACTGAGTACTGTTATCTGTCATGAAATAGAAGCTTGTTTATAATATTAGTTCCAAATGGAAGAAGTATTCTGGAATATTAATTCCACAGAAAGAATTATTACAATATTTGTTCCTGGCGGAATAAAGGGTACGGAATATTTGTTCCAATAGGAACAGATATTATAACATTGTTTATAGCAAAGTATCCAGAGGAACTTTTGTTAGGCGGAACATTATACGTTGACATATCTACTATTAAATGTAAATCCGATTTAGACTCTTCCATTCTAGGTGTTTAAGGTTTATACAAGTGCTTTTTCTGTACTTTTCTTAAATTTTATATGGTTTATAAGTTAGCAAGAGTTATGCCTTTTTGTTTTGCTAACACATTTTTGTCAATATAATGGAATTCTATGCGACTGTAATTCAAGTGAGAGGTTTAGCTAGCTATAAAACCAGGTTTAATCCACCATTTTCTACATAAGGAAATGCCTGTACCAAGTCAGGAATATGACAGTTGTTTTCCATTCGTTTGTTGTGTTTGTTGTGAACTTTTGATTTTGCCATTTGATAAAGGACTTTCCGTTTGGAATTTTCCATGGAGTTCGGTAGTTTTGTTATTTTACTTTTTGAGATTATTGTTCACTTTCCGACATATTAAATATTCGACTTAGGCAAACTTATTGTTTGAAAAAAAACACATTACTGTTAATTTCGAACGGTGGAGTTATGATACTTGAGATGAATGAAGTTTACCGATGTTCAAATCTCGTAAATCGATTAAGACGAGACAAATCAATTAACAAAAAAAAATGAGGGAATCGCCAGAACTCCTTAAGCAGCGAGGCTGGTGCGACGAAAGGGTAAGCGTTTCCTGCTATGCACCCATCACCCGCCATGCCAATCCACATGAAGACTAAACTGGGAACTAAATTTCCAAAACAGCGAAATTATGTGCTAGTGAGTTGAGACACCAACACATCGTACATATATCCGTCAACGAATATTTACGAACTCTGGATTCTTGGTTGATGTTATGTATGGGCATACATGTCTTAATGAAGTAATATTTACATATAGATACACAAAAGTATACTCTTTATTCGATCAACTAAAAACAGTTGCACGCATGTTTCTATACATGTTTTCTTTATAAAATCGCGAAATGAAAGACACTAGATATACATTTACAATATAGAATGTGGAAAGTATAATGTAAACAGTGGGCTAGAAGAAACTATAAGATATAAGATAAAATTCAACAGTAAACAATATATTGTATTTGTTTTCAGCTAATTCAAGTTTAATCAAATACATATATTTTGATAAAAGTACTTTTGTATTTACAGGATGAAGAAGCATAACCGTTGGAAGAATTTGAAATTTTTCAAAATTTAATAGTGACTTCTTATTATCTGTCTTCTAGTGTTTAAAAAGTTTTTATAATGATACAAAGATTTAATAAAATGATTTCCCTTTATCTTTCGTCATTGCTTTTATGTTGCGATCACACTACACTTTCGGTGTTAAGTTATATACTGAAACCAACATGTGTTTCTTGAAAAACATTCATCAAGTAAAATGGAGATCGGAAGTTTTGAAAACTAAAAGTATGAAACATCGGAGAACTTATAAACCAAAAGAGCCTAAATAAAAAAGCCGAATGCGTTTTAGATCAACTTTGCTTGTGGTAGCTGCGACCTTAGCTTAATCACAATTGCATAGGTCAACATTGCGCCTGTCCTAAATCTTATCTTACTTTTTTGTTTGTCATTTAGGGAATGCAATAGGATAGCTTATAGTCAATATCAAATTTATTCCCAACTTTTTGGACTCAGGCATTCAAGAGCTAGACATATTGGCTATTATCGAAAACCGTATATTGACCTTTAACGGTAGATTGTTTGGTTTTTGTATTAATTTTTATATCAATGCTATTTCATAAGCGTCAAAGTCATATCGTCATTGAATTGATTCTAGACATGCATATAAATCCAACAGTAAAGACCTTAACCCTAATATATTCTGAAATTCTATAAATGGAATAAAAATTACAGTTAAAACTACCAGCGAAATTCCCGACATCACAATCACTATGTACACAGACTTTCAATGGGACCAACCAATGTTATTAGTATTTCCCTAATTATCCTGATTACTAGTAAAATAAATGATACCTTGCGAAATGTTCATCAGTAAAAGTAAGTTAACGAGAAAAATCACAGATAATAATGAAAAAACAAATCCATTTTACCTGCGACAAAAAAAATCGTCATGTATTAGATAAGCACCCATAAAATAAGAACTCAAGACTTCACGACGGTGCCATGAGTGGAGCAGTATCTGCTTACCTTTCGGCAACACCTGGGATCATCTCCGGTTTTTGGTGGGGTTTCTGTTGCTCAGTCTTCAGTTTTCTATGTTGTGTTTTGTGTGCTGTTTGTTTGTCTTTTGTCTATTTGCCATGGCGTTGTCAGTTTACTTTCGACTTATGAGTTTGAATGTCCCTTTGGTATCTTTCATCCGTCTTTTTCAATATAAACGACAAATAGACTAGGTACCAAGGTGATTTTAGTGTAACTCATAATAAACAGTATAATGAAAGTATGGTGTATGCAATAAAAATTAGCAGAGTGTTTTAGTAATTCCTTGATTAATTGCTTGATCAGAACTTTGAATATTGAACAAATCAATAGATATAACAAGATACCAAACAATACTGATAAAAATCTGGGGAACTTGTTTGATACGACATTTTAAAAATTCTACCACAAAAAAATACTACCAGAAGCTCTTGTGACCAATCATAGTAAATGATTTCTTATTATGCAAATTATGCATGAATTATTATAATTCTAACCATCATGCCAAATAAAACAGAGCATTGCCATTGTAACAGCCGGAGACTGAATCCGTCACCCCTGGTAACATAAGCCACAACTATTATCAACACTACTAGGGTGTTCCACTAAAAGAGCTAATGAAAATCAATGATTCATCTACAAAGCTAAGGAAGTGTCACTTACACCTTTTGCCACCAGAGACATATATACATATATATTATACTATTATATTACCAGATGTAGCATCCAACTGTGCGAGACACTCATGGGTAGTCAAATGTCGTTAAAAACGGCATACTGTAAAACATGGTATGGTACGGTGATATGGTATGTGTTATGGTATAGTGGTATGGTACGAATACCACCATACCATGGTATACATGAATGGTACCATGGTATGGTATGGTGGTATGGTACAAATTACCATACCATGGTATGAAGCATGGTATGGTTTTTTGAAGTAGGAAATTTAGAAAAATTAATAAACCTATTCTGAAACAGGATTTTATTTATTATCTGTTTTCTTTTCTTTTTGACCTATTCCAAAACAAACTTTTTTTCAATGAGAAACAGGAACAAGAGTATTGAAACACGATGTAAAAAAATATTTATTGTTTCAATTCCCTTTTGAATGTTTCTCACAGACATTTAGAATCAAAACAATTAATTTAGAAAAGAATGGCCCACACACATTCAAAAGATAAGTCAGTTCTTCAGTCAGGATAATTAAGTAAGTTAAGAACTTCAGAAAATAGTTAGAAAAAAATGAAATTGATATCATAGTAGATCTGATATAGTTTCATTCCCTGGGAAACCCGGAGCATCAAACATCGTTGGCAAATACTTTATCACCAGCTCTACCAATGCTGAAAAACCTCATTTGGTAACTTTACTTTGCACAGTCAAGTAGCATGTGACAGTAACTGTCCAATATGGGAACTGTGTAAAGTATGCTCCCATTCCACTACAGCAGCAGAACACTGTAATTTACTTGAAATATTGTTAACCAAAACCATTAATTTAAATCGTACAGGTCTTGCAAATATAAATATGCCTTGCGGAAGAGGTAAAAAGCCACATAAAGCACAACAGAAGCGTAAAGGGGAGGCCATTAAAAATTTAACGTATTTGGATGATCATGACCAACCAAAAGTTCCAGCTCCAAGACCACCCGATGGAGGATATATAATATATTTTCTTAAAAGATTGTGACAATAAAGTGTCGAAATGCTATGGATAAAGGGAAACTTAAAACATGAAGGACAAATACCCAAACCACCAGGGGATTTAGTTGTTGTTTCTAGAGGGAGACATGAATATTTCAAAGATTGCACAAAATTATATGGAGAAATAAACAATATTTATTTTCATCTGTCTAAACAATGCATCAAGTCAAAAAATACCTTTTTTGTTCAAGCATTAGTGTATGTAGCACCATATGTGGTGAGTCAATTTCAACAGAATCAAAAAGATTTGCTTGATCAATGAATTATTACATATAAATATAAGTATACTCTTTCTGTAAAGATATTTGGAATGTATGTCGGTTTTTTTGTTGTTGTTTATTATATGCTAATACTATCTTATAAAAGTTTGATATTGAAATTAAGATTTTATTTCCATGAAAGTCAAAGCTTTTAAATTATTGAGGTTAAAATGAAGATTTTTTTTTTTTTTTGCTGCGAAGCAATTATCTAGATTTAAGAAAATATTCAGTTTGGAGGAGTAATTAGTACCGGTACACGTAGTTTTATATTTCACTAAAATAATTAAATGGTTTGCATGTGCATTTGCATTGTTAAAGACCAGTGTTTTGTTTATATTTGTAGATAGTGTGAAGGGACTGAGTTAACAGATTTTTCATACATGTATATTTTTTATTCTACAACAAATGAAATATAAATCATAAATAATAATAAAAGAAGACACACTCTTTGATTGATATTGTGTATTAACTATTCCTTAGTGCAACAATTTTCACATATAAAAACATGAGGTATCTATCAACTAACATAGTATTATATGAGTGACAGTTTAATTTGAAAGTATGGTGTTTTCTAATTGATGCAGCAGATGCATTCACCTTTTATTAACATTTTTTAAATGTGATTTCTTGGGCATATATGTAGACACACAGAATATGCAACTGTTGAAAGTGTCATATTTCAAAACAATATAAAAGTTGGTCATTGACAGAAGGTTAAGCAATACAACTTTAACTACATTATCTAGCTTATAATCATAAGATATGCAGCACTTCCCAAAATTTCAAAGACTAATTGACAGAATTTTCAATGTTTTAGGACGGGACATAATATTTATCTTATCTTAACTTTATTGTTATCTAAGATGTGTAAATTGAGTTTTCTCTTGTTTTCTGTTCACAAATTTATGTAAGTGATCTGTTTTGTCTACATCCACTTTTTTTAGTAATATTTTCTTTTCATAAATAAAACAGATACATAATGTCAGCCAATTAAAAAAAATCATGTTTCAAAATTGCCTTAATTAACTTTTCAAAATTTCCTATATCAAAAAACAATACCATGCTTCATACCATCAAATTATACCACGGTATAGTTATTTGTACCATACCATCATACCTTACCATGGTACCATTCACGCATGCCATGGTATGGTGGTATTCGTACCATACCACCATACCATAACACATACCATACCATCGTACCATACCATGTTTTACAGTATGCCGTTAAAAACACCGTAGAAGTAGTTTATGTACTGTGGGATATTGCTCACTATTTATATCCCCGTTATCAGTATCAATACCAAATTCCAGGATGATATGCGACGAAAATTTCATACAATGGTCATTATTTACGCATAAGAATATAGAAGTCAGGAAAATGAATAGCGATTGGTGTGTAAACACTAAGTTACACGGAATTGCATGCTTACATGAAGCTTGATACAACATTTTAGGAAGCTTTGATTTGTAGTTTCCGAACATTTTGTGGTATTGGCAGAGGTTAAAACCAGTACATTCTTACATTTTCCTTGAAGAGAGGTATAATAACCTCAAGCAGTTATAGCGAGCCTTACAAAGAGCAGTTATAGCGAGCCTTACAAAGAGTGCGTAGGATGAAATTTTTTCCTGGTTAACTCATTATCATTTGAATTTTATATTGAAAGTCTTTAAGGTTGAGGTCTTCGTGCAAACATTATAAATGATCTTAGAAATTAAATTAAACCAAGAGCAGGTTAACCCTATCAGACGGACATGTGTGCCTTTCAATACACAAAATGAACTTATATTATCCGAGAAACGAAATAAATATAAACCAATAAACCGTGAAAATGAGGTCAAGGTCAGAACTCTGCATCTGACAGATGTTTATCTTGCATAAATTGAAACCAAATATAGTTGCCTTATTGCTCACAATCGCTGAAAACATCCAAGTGAAAAACATTTTTACGCGGTTATTAAACAATGACGATGAGTTCAATAACATTGACCCAGACTTTAACTTCATACTATGATTGAGGAATCTGTTTACCAAATACGGCAAATCTAGCTCTTCGGATCGTATCAATCTATTCATTTATCAATTGAACTAAAATCCTTTTAAAATGATTGATTGAAGAATTTCACTATATTTACAATTTCCTATGTTATATGTTATACTTATGCACAAAACATATAAAATGGAACTAAAAAGATAGATAGACAATAACTGTTTAGTGTCTTTAAATATCAGCTGTATGTATTTGTACGAGGCTAAGAAACGGGTGTAATGCGAGTTTTAGCGAGCTATTACTTCTGTTTCGAGCAGAGTACAATTGCAGCTGATATTTAAAGACAATAAACAGTTATTGTCTTTATCCTGCAATTAATTTTGTACATTTTTTTCCCATCCCAATCGTTGAATTTGTTTTTGAAAGAAATCGACATGACTTAAACGCGGACCGCAATGAGGACCCCAAATTGAACTGTGACATAACCGTTAGCTCGCAACAGAAGCAGGATACCAGGAGACTATATACGTCTAGTATACGTATATCGCTTCGTGTTAACTGTACACCTGTATTTGTATAGTAGAAAGGTCGATTGCAGAATAAGTTAAAATGAAAGACCAGTAGTCGCATAACTGATTAGTGCAGGTGCAAATAATTTTGGATATTGAATCTGTATCAACATCAATTCTTTTTTATAATATTTAATGAAAAGACACTGTTCTAACAAATGCACCTATCTGCATCTCTGGCCACAAAAATAGTATTTTCAGAAAAGAATCCCGAAAATTATCAACAAGCAAATCCTGAAAGAGTAATACTGTATTCAAAATCAAGTGCCAATGTGAAACGTATTTTATGTACACAAGTTATGTTTTCATCTTTGTAATAAAACTAATCGATTGTTTAGATACAATCAATTCTATATTCAACGGGCAATCGACAGTCTGAAGTATTAAAAAAAAAAAAAAATACAAAAAACAAAAACAACTAAGGTATTGATACTTTATATGAAAAAAATTAAATAAAAAATCCGATAAATCTTGTTCCAAACTTGTTTATGAATCATGCACTTAATGTGAAAGCAGATTAAGAAAAATACTTTTAACATTAATCAAGTATGCAACTTTAATTATAAAAATTTCTAGATTACTAAAATTTAATAAAATATTACATTTTTCAGAGTTATTTTTATTGTTTTATTGAATTTTGCCTTGAAAACTAAATATTCTATATAAATAAATACTAATAAAGTATAATAAGTATTTAACTTGCACAATATAACTTTCAATAAAATTTGGGATTGCAGTGAATGAAATCAACGATGAGTCAACATTCTCTTCAGAGACAACAATTTTTCTTGATCAGTAAGTTAATTGGCAGACAACTCTTATAAAGTTGGTAACAACCTGACTGTCACATATAAAAATTTGTATCTATTATTTCATCTATATCTAGAAAATTTCTATTTTTTTTTTATTTGACATAAATGTGAGCATTTAACATAATATGTAGAGCACAATATGCATGTCCTTAATTAATATAGAAAATGGCAAGAAAAATAGAGTATTGAAATGAAGACACCCCCCCCCCCCCCCCCCCTTCGATTGCAGGATAAGTTAAAATGAAAGACCAGTAGTCGCATAACTGATTAGTGCAGGTGCAAATAATTTTGGATATTGAAGGTGTATCAACATCAATTCTTTTTTATAATATTTAATGAAAAGACACTGTTCTAACAAATGCACCTATCTGCATCTCTGGCCACACAAATAGTATTTTCAGAAAAGAATCCCGAAAATTATCAACAAGCAGAGTAATACTGTATTCAAAATCAAGTGCCAATGTGAAACGTATTTTATGTACACAAGTTATGTTTTCATCTTTGTAATAAAACTAATCGATTGTTTAGATACAATCAATTCTATATTCAACGGGCAATCGACAGTCTGAAGTATTAAAAAAAAAACAAAAAACAAAAACAACTAAGGTATTGATACTTTATATGAAAAAAAATAAATAAAAAATCCGATAAATCTTGTTCCAAACTTGTTTATGAATCATGCACTTAATGTGAAAGCAGATTAAGAAAAATACTTTTAACATTAATCCCCCCCCCCCCCCTTCGATTGCAGGATAAGTTAAAATTTTCATTGTATATGTATCAATATGCAAGTATACAATGTATACCAGACATTTCTCAGACTGTTTTTTTTTTTCTTTTCTATTTTTAATAAATCCGTTGGTTGTGTACTGATTGATACTTCAGTCTGGGAGAACAAGATTTATTTCAATATAAGTTGTTATTAGCTTTGAACAAACTTCCAGAAATTGCAAATACTCTTATTTCGGTGCTTTGTGTCTATTGTCTTAATGTAAGTTTTTTTGTTTTTTTTTTTTGTGTCTCGTACCGATCTTTTGAGTTAATCTAATTGCAATTGATTTGTGCAGGTTGTTCTTATATTGTACTGTTACACCACTGTCCCAGCTTCGGGAAGGGTTGAGCGCTCACAAACCTGTTCTTGTACTGTTACACCACTGTCCCAGGTTAGGGGGCGGGTTGGGCCGGATCTCGCTAACATGTTTAACCCCGCCACATTCTGTATGTATGTGTCTGTCCCAAGTCAGGAGCCTGTAATTTCAATGAATGGTTGTCGTTTGTTGCTGTGTTACATATTTGTTTTTCGTTCATTTTTTTGTACATTATTCAGACCGTTAGTTTTCTCGTTTGAATTGTTTTACATTTGTGATTGCGGGGCCTTTTATATCTGACTATGCGGTATGGGCTTTGCTTATTGTTGAAGGCCGTACGGTGACCTATAGCTGTTAATTGCCGTGTCATTTGGTCTCTTGTCTCATTGGCAATCTTCGTTTTTATATCAACCCTGTCATATTCTTTGTGTGCCTATCCCAAGTCAGGAGCCTATAGTTTAGTGGTTGTCGTTGGTACATGCCTCGACTCATATTTGATATTTTGTAAATTATTTTGTTATGCATAATTAGGCCGTTAGTTTTTTCGTTTGAATTGTTTCTCACACTTTTCACGTCGGGCCTTTTATAGACGACTTTTAATACAGTTTCGGGTTTTATCATTGTTGAAGGCCTTAATTACGGTTGCCTATAATTTCTTACATCCACTTCATATTTGAACTCCGGTGGATAGTTGCCTCATTAGCAATCATACATCTCTTCGTTTTTATATTATATACCCGACTTTTAAACTCGTGTTTTCCTGAACCGAGTCCTGAACAGGCATGACATATTTGTCACTGGGCGTTAAAAATTAGCAACACACAATCAATCAATTTAAACTTGTGTTAAGTAAGAAGAAAAACCATTTGATATGTATTCATTTATTGGGGTGGGGGACAGGAGGATTTCATATATGAATATGGTTGCCTGGTAAGAGCTGAAAAAATAGGCATAATTAGCGACAGATTAAAAAAGTTAATAATGCCCTCTTCCCTTCCCCATCCTTCATCTATTAATTTAAACTGACCACCACGGAATAGCCCAACTTAGTGTTGAAAGTAGCGTTTAACACCAATCAATCAAAATCCCTTCCCTAGAATATCAAATAGTCGTCCCTGAACTGTTATTGTCCGTGTAGTTCTTATATTTATCCAGCTTATCGTCCTACAGGGATGTCCTACTAAGACTGTCATACCATAAAAACGTTTGTAACACAGCTCACATTCTAATATATCTGCATTCATAAATTTATTAATGTCATTTAGACTAAACGACGCCATGTTTGTTATGTGCCTCTGCCGTCTAAACTACCTATCAAAAAAGAAGAGGTGGAAGAGAGCCAGAAGATCTTCCCTATTCAAAAAAACAGAAGTGGACCTCTTCTGGCTCACTACCGAAGAACAAAAAAACACGCCCCAATATTGTATGAAAGGAACCTGATGACCCCGTTACAACCTATGCATTTGTACTCGGTATTAAAATTACTATCCTTCAATAATTTAAATATTGAACGTGTTGAACGCTTTACGATATTCACCGTTGCATCATCGAATGAGACTTGTGTATGATATGTTGCATGTAAAAATATGTAATATCCACCCTCATTTAAATAAAGATGTACAATAACGCATACTCAGTAGTTACTTTCGTTATGTTAATGAATATACAACATTATATTAGTTATTTAGGTGTGGCAAATTGGACAACCGTACCAGTTTCTACAGCATGAATGGATATTTTTCTGAGATATTTTTAACTGTGTAGGTGTTGATAGTAATATTTATTGTCATGTTTTAAATATTTTATAATCACAACTTACAACAATCAAATCGTCGGTGTCAAAATACAGCTCAACTATTTGATTGTGACCAGATTAAAAAGGTGGAGGGGAATGGGTTTTATTTTAAAGAATTCTATTCTGAGAATATTTCTCTTTACTTTGATTGCAAAGTGAAAAATATAGAATCTGTCGCAGCATTGGCCAAAAAAATATTCTGTAATGTACTTTGTTCATAGTTTTGACTGTAAAACAGAATATCCCTATTCCGGTTTTAGATTAGGCTGTTAGTTTTCTGGTTTGAATTGTCTAACATTTTTCATGTCGGGGCCTTTTATAACCGACTACACAGTATAGGTTTTTCCATTGTTGAAGTCTGCACGGTGACCTATAATTGCTTAACAAAATGAATTGCAGTATTTTTCACCATTTCAAACAACTAGGCCCCCCTTTTCATGGACCCTGGAACTGCCCCTGTTAACCCTATGCTTAAGACATATTTGATACAAGGGATTGCTGTCTATGGCTGAGTCTGAATACCCACCTATATTTATACCATTAGAAAATTATGAGTGTAAGTTCTGTCAAATGCATTATTAAAACAAATGTAAAGTATATATATACCAGTCTTTTTCCTGCTAATGCAAAGGCACTTGTCTCTGAAATTTTTTGACCTGTATACTTTAATAGAACATGTTATATTAAAGTATGTATCTAAAAAAAAGTATGTAATTAAAACATCATGTGATACAGAGATATCAACTTTTATTTGAAATTCCAATATGAAATTAAGGTTCAAAACCAAAATATGAGCCCAAATATTAATGTTAGACTTTTTGCCTTAATTAATTCTATTATCACAGAGTTGAATCAGCCTGTTTTACCTAGATAGAAAAATCAACCATTCTTAAGTAAAAGAATTTGAAACCTAAGAAAAAGTTATTCATAACTTACACATGTATAAGAATTGGACATTTCATGCGTTAATGTGTGGTCCTTATTTTGTTAATATAGAATAACCATACATTGTCTCGAAATATAAATGTTATTTGTACAAGGCTTAGAAACAGATAGAAAGTAAGAGTACAAATAAAATTTATATTTCAAGACAATTTATGGTTATTTTTTATATACTGCAACTCCTATAACTTTTCCAAATGAAATATTTAGGGTAAAAACAGTCGTTTTTATACGATTTTTTTGTGGTCGTATATTGGTATCACGTCGTCGTCCGAAGACACTTGGTTTCCGGACAATAACTTTAGTATTAGTAAATAGAAATCTATGAAATTTATACACAAGGTTTATAACCACAAAAGGAAGGTTGGGATTGATTTTGGGGGTTATGGTCCCAACAGTTTAGGAATAAGGGGCCAAAAAGGGGCCCAAATAAGCATTTTTCTAGTTTCATGACAATAACTTGTGGAACAGTGTATGGATCTCTCTGAAATTATACCACAAGTTTACATACCACAAAGGGATGGTTAGGATTGGCTTGGGGGGGGGGGGGGGGGGTTATGGCTCAACCGTTTAGGAATTAGGGGCAAAAAAGTGAGAAAAAACAAGGGTGTCCTGGTTAATGGACAATTACTTAAGTACAAATTACAGTGTAAGGGAGGTAATTCAAACACAACTTTGAATTACCTCCCTTACACTGCTTTTAAATTATGTATTAAGAAATGTTGTATTGTCTTGAGGTGATTAGCTGTCAATTCATTTTTAGAAGTTACTATTTTAATAATTTTAAAAATGCTGATTAAGGTAAATTAATTTTAGCTATGATTATGTATGTCGTTTTAATTTTATTCTTTATTTATTTAAAGAGGATTGCCAACAGCCAGAGGTTAAGTGTGGGTCTTCTCAACATAGATATATACAGATTCACAATTAACAAAGATTTTTTTAGTTTACAAACAATGTCATGTTTAACACAAGACAAGACAATATGTACAAGACAAGACATACGAATGTTATTTGAATACACACCCATCCAATCACTCGCTCATTCTTACTCACATCCACATGACTTTACAAACATGTTGGATTCAGTAATATATAAATAATAATTATGGATAGACGATTTTGAGTACAATCAGGTCAAATGAAAGAGAAAAAAAAATAATATAAGACTATGTATGTGTTTCATACCTAATATGTTTTTATTACAAGGAAAAATATAGTACGAATAAGTTATTGAGCTATGGAGAAAATCTGTTTGAAGATTTAATATATCGAAACACACACTCAGACAGCTCTAAATTAGTATCATCAGACAAATCGTCACTACCTTCTATTAAAATTTTGCTCAGATAGTTGGGACATAGATCCCGCAACATTGCTATATTCATATCTGGACAAATCAGATTCTTAATACCAAGTAGAAGAGTAATCCGATAGTTCGTGTAACGGACGCAATGAATTAAATAGTGCTCAGTGCTTTCAATACGGTTACCTGGGCAGAAATCGCAAAACCTATTTAATGTAAGATTATATTTGTACAAGTGGTCATTAAGTATGTCATTTTCTATTTTCAGACTTTTATGATGTATTTAAATGGGTTATTATGGTTGCAACCTCCATTGGAAATTTGAATTGAGATTATGACCATGTCTTGAGGGAAAGATTTTTTTTTTTGGAAAACGGGGGGGGGGGGGGGGGGGGGGGGGGGGGGTGAGGTTAAAAAAAATGGTGGTGGGGGGACAATTTTTTCTCCTCAAGATTTCAGAAATCAAAATGACAAAATGGAAATTTCTACAAATATTTTTGTTGTTGAAAAAAAGGGGGGGGTAAAAAATTGGGGGGAAGGTCAATTTGCAACAGCATAGTGTATTGCACAAAAGCAAAAAATTGAATATAAATTCAAATCATATAACCAATTCTAAGTTCTTTGACTACAGTTATTCTGTGTCAGAAACCTATTATGAGTCAAATGTTGAATTACAATCCAAATTCAGACCTGTATCAAGCACGAATATTCTGTTCATTTTTGCCCCAACTGTTCAGGGTTGGACTTCTGCGGTCGTATCCAGCTGCGCTCGGCGAAGCAATTTATTTAATTTGGAGCAGACGACGTAACATTTCCGCGAACCTGTATTTTTTTTTACAGCATAAATAAAACTCTACGAAACGCATTGTCAACGTCATGAACAAGGCGATATACGGTCAGTAACTGTAAATCACAAATGACACACGGTCTATGCAATTTGACTGCGCAAATAGCACATCTGCAGTATATAGTTATGTTTATGCACATATAAAGTAAATCCACTCATTGGTCATGTGAACGTTTAACATTTGATAAAAATGTAATAACTATTTACCAGATCATTACAATATGAATTCTGTTTTTTCAGGTCTAAGAAAGAATAATGTCTTTAACAGAAAGATACCTTTGTAATATCTGCAAGCAAAATGAAGCAAGTAGTACAGTCATATGGTGTATAGACTGTGAGGTGTCTCTTTGTATGGAATGTGAAAAACATCACAAAAATTCTGCGGCATCCAAAGACCACAAGACTATAATCACTGAAGATTACCACAAGTTGCCATCTTTCATGAAAGAAACATGTAGCCTATGCAAAGACCATGATAGAAAATATGAACTTTACTGTTCTGTCCATGCATGTGCCTGTTGTTCTGAATGCACTTCAGACAAACATAATCAATGTCAAGATATGATGCGGCTGTCAGAAATATTAGGAAACAAAAAATTATCTGACTCTGTCCCACCTCTGGAAAAAGATTTAAAGGATATAGGAGAAAAGTTTGAACATATAATTGAATACTTGCACAAAATTATAACTACAAATAAAAATCAGAAAACACAAATTCTATCGGAAATTAAATCGGTGAGAAAATCTATAGATGATTACCTGGACAAATTAGAAAGTCAGATTCTTGACGAGTTAGAATCTAAACATTTAATGATACAGTCAAAAATGGGGGATCTTGTTCAACAAATAGAACAACGTGCAAAACAAATTGGTCATTTACAAGAAGACTTTTACAAAATGACACAATATGCCACTGAATGGCAAACATATGTTGGTCTGAGGGAAATGGGAAAAGCTTCATTACAAGAAATAAAATACGTAGAAGATTTAGAGAGTAAAGGACACATCGATAAAAATAACTTGCATGTTAACATTTCCTCTGCCTTGCAATCAATTCTAAAAGATATAAAATCTTTTGGAGATATTTCTATTACAAAACAACCATATAGTTCAAAAGTCATGGTCATCACAGGGGATGAAGTCCAGCATTCAATATCAAAGTTTCCTAATATTGAACAAATAAAGCCAACTTTCTTAAACACTCTCAAATTTCCAGAAGGACAAAAATATTTAATGATGAAATTACTTGTTCTTGATGATGGCAAGTTTCTGGCCCTAGAAAACCACCAGAAAAGTTTGATGCTGTTCGGTAGTGATGGTTTCTGTTGGAGAAACGTGGTGAAATTCTCACAAGATGACTTCCCGTTTAATTTTTGCAACATCAGCAATAATATAGTGGCGGTCAGTCTCTATTACAAACATCAAGTGATATTAGTGGACATAGAAAAGAATAAAACTATAGAAACTATTGACATTTCTGGTGCCTGTTGGGACATTTCGTGTTATGGTCAAACACTGGCCATCAGCCTATCTGATGATGCAAAAATCATTCTACTAAACCTGCAGGACAAATCACGCGAGATTATAGAAGCAGTTCAGCTCACACATTTAGTCCTGTTTGAAGAAAACATTTATTGTACAGCTTGTAGTACTCACAAGGTGTTTTGCTACAAAGTCACAGGAGAACACGTTTGGACAGTTAAAAATTCCGATATCGATATACCAGAAGGAATTGCAGTAGATATGAATGGCTTTGTTTACATTGCTTCTTTAGGCAATAACAGTATTGTGCAGTTATCACCAGATGGTAAAAGTCATAAAACAGTTTTGAATGAAGAAGATGGAGTCATATATCCTAAGGCTTTTGATATTAACAGAAAAGCAGGTTTGATGATAGTCTCCAGCCAAACCAATTACTGTACACAGGAAGCTTTTGTGTATAATATTTGAGATTGACATGACTGTATTTATTTTTCTCCTTTATATCATGCATTTGAAATAAAACTTCTTTTCCAAAATAAAACAAATTTTCTTTTCAGTTAGTCAGTGTTTCATGACAATGGCATTTGGAAAGAAAAATTATCTAAGGGAGCTACCATTTGATTTTTATGGGGGCTAGGTTGAAAAATGTTGTCCTGCTTTTTTTTTTAGTTGTCATCTCTGTCCTGCCTTTTTATTTTTTTCTCTATTTGGTCCTGCATTTTTTTTTAATAGTTTATCCTGACTTTTTTTTACATAAATTGTCATCCTGCCTTTTGTTTTAGCCAAAACTCCTGTCCTGCCTTTTTTAATTAAATTTCATCCTAGCCCCCCCCCCCCCCCCCCCCCCCCATAAAAATCAAATGGTAGCTCCCTGAATAATTAGTAAAAGCCAGTTATAAAATGAGCAAGACTGACATGTACACCTTACAATCACTCCGTACACCAAAAATAGTTAAACTATTATAGTATCCAAAAAACAATCTCAACTAAGAAAACTTAACATTGACCAATGAACCATAAAAATGAGGTCAGGTCAGATGAACCTGCCAATCTGACAAGTCCACCTAAAAATCATTCCATAAGACAAATATAGTTGACCTATTGCTTATGGTATCTTAGGAGAGGACCGAAATACTGCAGCTGAACATTGACCATTGAACCATGAAAATGAAGTCAAGGACAGATGATATCTGCCAGATAAACATATCCACCTAAAAATCATTACATACACTAAATATAGAAGACCTATTCCTTATGGTATTTTAAGAGAGGACAAAACTACTTAAACTTATGACTGAACATTTAACCATCAAAAATGAGGTCAAGGACAGATAATATCTGCCAGATAGGCATGTACACCTGACAATCATTCCATTTATTAAATACAGTTTACCTATATCTTAAAGTATCTAAGAAACCGATTAACAAGGAAAACTTAACTTTTACCAATGAACCATGAAATTAAGGTTAAGGTCAAAATGCCAGACTGATATGAATGCCTTACATGCATTCCATATATCAAATATAGATGACCTCTTGCTTATAGTATTTTCACAAGAGTGCACACACTGAAATGTCTTGCCTGCTTTACTTACCATGATTGATGGTTATCATTGATGGTTGATAGTTATCACATAAACTTATCATTATCAATGATTCGTAACAATGAGGTCACGGTCAGATAAACAAAGCAAGACAGACAAATACACCTCATTATCACTCCATACACCAAAAATAAATTACCAATTACATGATCTTACAGAGTTCTTAAGAAACAAACTTTTAACATTGACCAATGAACCATAAAATGTAGACTAGGACACGTTATCTGCCAGACTGACATTTACACCTTACAATCATTTCAAAATACAAACAAAGTTGACCTATTGCTTATTGAATTTTAGAACCAGACCAAACTATTGAAGCTTAACATTGACCAATGCAGGGGTGTGGAAATATTTGATGTGAGCACTTGTTCCTGGGCAAGTAAAACTATAGATTTTACTTGTCCGGAAAAAAAGTAACACGCCCTGAAAGTCCCAATACATATTGAAGTATTTTACTGTTAGCTTGTATGATTCTTACCACTGTTTTGCATCACAATATAAATGAAAGTCATTTTGTTCATGCGTACAAATAAAAGGAGAAATGGGTTAACATCAATGGGACAGAAACCCAACCAAATGAAATGACATCTGGAGGACTATTTTGCAGCAATATTTAATTAAAAATTCTAGCCAGTAGGTACATATACTAAATTTTGAGGACAGTGAGTGAAGAAATGAAAACTAAATAATAGATTAACTATTGAATTTTATTTGTTTCACTAAACTGTTAGGTTTTTTCTTAATGTTTGATGGGCAATTAAATTGTCCCTTCTATCCACCACTTTGCCAACAAATAAGATTGACTTTTGATCGGCAAGGGTCAGATGCTGTCTACAAATTATACAAACATTCAATTTATTTTCCGAAATTTCTTCCCTAGAGAGCCAGGGGGAATCTGATATCCATGATGTCTGAAATTCTTGCTTCCGTTTTTTTTTTCTTTTCATTCTCCGTCTACGTTTTACGTTTTCTACTCGACTTGTCACTCTTTTTGTCTTGATTCCCCGATGTTTTATTAAGTATTTATCCTTCATATGAATCTCAAAACAAAACTAATAAAACAACACTTCTGTTTAATGATGGATATAACCTAATCGACGATCCCGGGTCAATGGAAAAAGACAATGTAATGTTTATGTGACCCCGCTTCGCATACTTATTTTGTTTTTATTTTGGTAATCGCTCTATTTCCAGTTTTATTTAATGATGTTTTGACTTAAATATATGTTTTTTACTCGCTTATCATTGGATAACATATATTAAACATCTTAATAAGTTATGAAAATAATTCTTTATTTTTATTTGAATTGAATTTTGTCAGGTTTAATATTTTACTTGTCCACAGGCAACCCAGACAAAAAAAATTACTTGTCCGGATGTTCAAATGTACGAGTCGGGCGAGTCGGCATAGCATTTCCACACCCCTGCAATGCATCATGAATGTGAGGTCAAGGACAGATGACACCAGACAGACAGACATAAACATCTGACAATCATTTCAAACACCAAATGTAGTTGACCTTTTGCTTACAGTATGATCTAAGTGACCTATGAAGCATAAAAATGAGGTTTAGGTCAGATAAAACCTGCCAGACTGACATATACACCTTACAACCATTTTATACACCACATATAGTTGACCGACTGTTACTGTATTTGAGAAAAAGATCTATGGTTCATTGATCTAGGTTATTTGTTGGAGGACAGGCAAACCCTGTCTGACGGACATGTATACCTTGCAAGGAACGCATATATCAAATAGAGTTATCTATCACTAATAATAAGTTCACAAGACAAAAAAAATTTTAAGCAGTCGCTTAGCCATGAAAATGAGGCAAAGGGCAATGGACATATGACACTAAAACATGGTAAGAAAAGGCATCAATATACAAGGTATGAATCATCCAGGTCTTCTACTCTCTGAAATATAAAGCTAAATATAAATAGTTTACTCAGTTATTACTCTTATTCTGCTACTTTCATCCTAGACGTTACAAAATTATGCATTGTATGAGTTTTACATGTGTTAGTTTCAAATGTCCGCACTATATATATAGTTAAAATGTCATTCAAAAGTTGTTGTTGTTAATCATATTTGTTTTTTCTTATTGCTTTGTAGAGTTTGTTCTTGTGTTTTGATGTTGCATCACTATCCAAGGATAAGGGGAGGGGAATCAGGGGAATTCATGTTTAACCCTGCCACATTCTGTATGTGTCTATCCCAAGTAAGGAGCCTGTAACTCAGTGGTTGCTATTTGTTGCTGTTTATCTTATTTGTATTCTGTTTTATTGTTTTGTATATAAATCAGGCTGTTAGTTTTCTTGTTTCAATTGTTTAATACATGTCATTTCTGGGCCTTTTATAGTTTGCTGTGCGGTATGGGCTTGCTCATTGATTAAGGCTGTATGGTGACATATAGTTGCTAACTTCTACATCATTTGGTCTCTGGTGGAGGGTTGGCAATTATTCCACATGTTCTTATTTTCATATTGCAGTTTTATTTAGTGATAAAAATTAACACTTTCTTAAGAAAATCATATTTAATATAAATATGGAATATCAAACTGTCAATCTCTGGATTTCTGTACATAAAAGTTCAATTATAATTCCCCTCAATTCCTATTGCTATGTTTTCCTCCCCATCAGTTCCTTGGATGTCTAAAGTCCATACTTTATGAGTATTCATAGCTATCACTGAAATAAGATGAAAAAAAAACAATTCTTTTAAATGTCTAGAACAGTTCTTAACGACACACTCATAAAAAGATTAGAATTTTCAACACAGATTTCTATTAATTCTATCTATTCGAATTAATTCCAAAAAGAAAGGAAGTGTTTCTGGTGTTTACCAGTAATACAGGTTTACGCATGTAGTTCGCATGATATTGATTTTATATTGAAACTGGATTTCTAGCACATTTCTTTATTGAAAAAAGAAAATACATCATTATTTTCCTCACCAATATATCATCTGGTATGTACGACACAAGGATTCTACATTTTACACTTTCTAACCTGTTCAACTGTTCTCCAGTGGATCTTTTAAAATTTTTACTCTTGTCTTTAGTTTGAAACTTGATCAAAACCAAAGTAACAGCAATCTTACTTTTAAAAAAAATATGGTATGAAGTATGGTATTCAATGAGACAACTATCCACAAAAACAAAATGAGAAAATAAAGTTGATAAATATATCGACATTTACAGACTAGCCATTTATTCAGCAGTTTGTGAGAAGGCAAACAGTACACACCACATGACAACAGTTACATAACTGTTGCTAAGATGATGTGAAAACCTACTCTCATGGTTACATTGGTGAAGTGAAAATATTTTCTTACAATGTAGTTTGGAAAAATTCTCTTACAAGGCTTTTTTTGCCAAGGTTTAATGAAAATATTTTCATATAAGTTTCTTTGCCCTAGTTTAATGAAATTTGTTTGCCAAGGTTTAAATGAAAATATCCTCATACATGTTTTTTTGCCAAGGTGATGTGAAAATATTCTCATACATGTTTTTTGCCAAGGTTAAATGAAAACATTCTAATACATGTTTCTTTGCCAAGGTTATGTGAAAACATTCTCATAAATGTTTTTTGCCAAGGTTAAATGAAAACATTCTCATACATGTTTCTTTGCCAAGGTTATGTGAAAATATACTCATAAAAGTTTCTTTGCCAAGGTTATGTGAAAACATTCTCATACATGTTTCTTTGCCAAGGTAATGTGAAAACATTCTCATACATGTTTCTTTGCCAAGGTTATGTGAAAACATTCTCATACATGTTTCTTTGCCAAGGTTATGTGAAAATATACTCATAAAAGTTTCTTTGCCAAGGTTATGTTAAAATATACTTATACATGTTTCTTTGCTAAGGTTAGGTGAAAATATTCTCATACATGTTTCTTTGCCAAGGTTATGTGAAAATATTCTCATACATATTTCATTGCCAAGGTTAAATGAAAATATTCTCATACATGTTTCTTTGCCAAGGTTAAATGAAAACATTCGCATACATGGCAATGTAACTTTCATACTATCACTCAGTTAAACTATACGTACATATCTGTCCTTCATTGAGGGTATCCTGTATTGGTATGCATGAGGTATTGCACAGGTCTTCAGGAAAGAGGTTAAATGTACTTCTTCCTTTAAGTTGTAGTAAGATTATGATTGCTGTCTCTGTTTTAAACTGAAAAATAAGGAACCAGCTCGTAAGATTGAATGGTGGCCATAATAAAATTTCGGTCATACAAACAGGAATTCTTCAAAATCAATATGTGGTTGAATCAGAGTAACGAACAATACCAAAAATATTGATTGCATAGCTGTTTACCTTCTCAAATATTGAGCCTTCTATCAAATAGTAAATGTCACCTCCAAAAATGCAGAATAAGTCTCTAGAAACTTTGTCTAAGGACAGAAAAAAAAGGGGGCATTTTTTTTTTTTATTTGATCCTAAATTTCTTTAAAAAAAAGATTGTTGCTGAAAAAAATTAAGGGAATTAAAAGATTTCTTTGTTTCAAGTGGAAATTAGTTTTAAAAAAATGTTTTTCATTAAAATTGAATAAATATGTCCTGATAAAAAAAAAATCATTATTCCCCAACAAAAGATGAATAGTTAGTGCCCAATACAACTTTTGTTTCAAGCCTATCAAATGAACATTTCTGTGTTGCTTTTTGCTTAAGTTGTTTTGGAGAACTTCATGTGTTTACAATGGATGTATCAATAACAGACAACATTGCCATCTAATAACAAACAATCACATGACCTTTGGACAAGAAATCTAAAGCAGGGTAAAGAGATCATAAGAACTCTATCGAGATACATTACAATATTGGCTATAAATAATACCTCTACTACTTCCTTGATTTTGTATTTCTTAGAGAAATATATAAAATTCTGTTCAAACATCTCTACCGAAGATGGTAAGAAGTAAGGTCTCTTATAAAACCTCCTCATGGCTTTTGCTGTTTGTTTTACACAGTTTGTCCTGAAATATAAATTACTTCATTAATAAACAAACAAAATTTTACCAGTCAGAAAATGGTTTTATTTTCAATTAATGAGGATTACACTTGATGAAACAACACTTGACCACCCAGGATTTTGAAACCTTGTAGTAACTCAAATTTTCAATTGTTTATCTCAACAAAATTTCTTTTTTTCTTTTTCGAACATGGTTTCACAATGGAAAATATATATTTTGAGCTAAATAATATTAATTTAATAATAATGATAATATGATGCAACAATGATACCACTAAAAAACAATACAGAAGGCCGTACAGTTGCCTTTAATTGCTTATATCTACTTCATTTGAACTCTGGTTGATAGTTGTGGAATTGTCAATCATACCACATCTTCTTATTTTTATAGTTATCTTGACAACCAATTACCATAACAACAGATCCTTACCATGAAATGTAATATCCCTGTTTTATTTTATTTTCTTCTTCCATAAACTTGTCCACATCCCGGTATGGTAAGTTACTACTGAGGTCACATGGTTCACTGTCAAAGAAAGCTGGATCTTTCTGGTAAATCTAAAAATAAATAAATAATAATTATATATAAATTACTGTGAAAATATGAGGCAATTTTACAAAAAATCAATTTTCTTGGATTTGTGACTTATTGATACTATGAAATCAAATACCTAACAATATATATTTTTTTATGATTTATTTGTTGAGTTTTAAACTACAGTTCAAAATCCTCGTCCACAAACTGGGTAACTTTACCCTAGAAAGAGTTATTCAAAAATAACTAAGTATCACAGAAAGCTGAATATTGACGGAAAATGCTTTGCTCAATTGTTATTTTGTAGGAACCCACACAGGGTTAGCTAACTTTCCTATCTATTTGAGGTATTTATAAGTTGAGACAGCAAAACTAATTATGTGTACTTCTTCCATAAAATGAGATTGCTTGTGAGTTACGTAACCAAACATTTAAAAAATTTAATAGCTATTCAAGTACTGTAAAGTGCATTATTTCAGTGAAGTTTGAATTTTGTGATTTCTTAAACATGTTAAATATATGCACACTAAACCATGTAAACAAAGACATTTAAACACCATAAACCAGTGTGTATTTGTTACAAACTAAATTTCCATGTAAAAAAATGCATAAACACAAAACTTGTTGTTTGTTGCAGTATACAATATATCATATTTGTTTTTTTGTTAATTTTGTACATAGATCAGGCTGTTAGTTTTCTCTTTTGCATTGTTTTTCACTTGTCATGTTGTGGCCTTTTATAGCTTGCTACATGTATGTGGTGTTTTTTTATTATATACAAGACTTACGTCCTTTATCTTTCCAATTGTTAAAGATGTCATTGATTCTGGCCAATCCCTCATACCATCTTCTACAATAACATGTTGTCCAGTCTTCATAAACTCTGCTACAAACTGGACTTCTGTTAAACCTGATATTCTTTTTACATCATTTATACCGCTACACAACTGAAAACATAATTTACATTTACATGACCAATTTCAATAAAATAAACTAGAATAAAGAGCCATGCTTTTTCAATGAATAAAGTTCCATAACTCCTAAATGTCATATCAGAAATTTATAAAAAACATAAGGGAGGTTATTCTAATAGATATAAACCAGTCACCAAAGTTTCATGAAAACTGCTAAAAGCACTTGTGAGTTATTGTCTGAAAACTGGAAAATCCCCCTTTTTTATGAATAATATCCCATAACTCGGAATCGTAAAATCTAAAATTTATAAAAGTCGAAAGGGAGCTTACGTCAATAGATATAAACAATTCAACAAAGTTTCATGCAAATTGGTTAAAGCGTTTTTTAGTTATTGTCCGACATGTTGACGACGGACAGACAACGGTATACCATAATACGTCCCGTAAACGATCGTATATAAACTGTGGGCAGATCTCATAAATTCTCAACCAATTAAAAAGTCAATGTTTTATTGCATAAATCGCTAGTACTAATGGAATAGAAATTGCACAATAGTATTATGTAATGTTTCTATGAAAGTTTAATTGTCATACAGTCTATATTTTTACAGTAGTTGCAAATCAAAAATGTTTACCTTTTACATAAATGGCATAGTTTTGATTTGGTAAGAACATTTTCAGAATGAAAGTGGTGGATAGAACTAGGGTTTAAAGCACACCAAATTTTCCACTTGAAAAGTAATTTCTGATCCAATTAATTATGTATTTAGGAGTCAATGTCCCTAATGAGACATGACTGTGTGTATTCACACATCAAATCTATGTGGCAGTGTATTATAATTTCACATCAGATACAGACAAACTGATGAGTCCAGAAAGAGTTGCAATGCACAAAGAGAGTCTTGCCCACTCCAACAAATGTATTTATTATCTTCCCTGTCAGTGAAAATACACCACAGCTCAGGTGGGTTTTTGTCATTTCAACCTATGGCTGGAGTTGTCAAGCTGTTCTGGTATTTTCATCATAAGATTTGCAATATTCATCACCTTGGAAAAATAAGCTTTTTTATTAATTATTTTGACCAAATCTGAGACTAATTTGAATGCAAATATCAAATTCACCTGAGCTACATTTAAAAAAAAAATTAAACTAACCTGACAATCTTCTTCGGTTAAGAATTGGTCAATAAATAATGGATTCTTAACTAGACAGTCCGTGTTATGTATCTGAATCCATTCATATAGTGGATAAAACTGTAAAAATATGTAGGATTTTAATCACAATATGTGTGCAAAATATTAAATGCATACTTAAACATTATATGATGTCTTTCACTTGCAATTTAGGTAACTTTGCTAACCTTAATAATAAGAATTAGGCTGTTTATTACTACATGAGTGTAACCATGCATGGCGTTAAAATCATGACAAACATCCGTGCAAGGATTTTACAAAACTTGTTTCATGTAAGAAATAGCTAATAACATCATGTTTTTCAACAAAATTTGGAACTGTTGATTCATTTTTAGTGGGTACCAATTTTTGTAAACTCATTAAAAATCGTAATTTTTCTTTAATGCAGTTCATCATATCAGAAATGTTTGTTATAAAGAAAACCATAATATCTAATTTTTTCTTTATAGTAGTTTTCTGGAATTCATTAATTGTAGTGCCGAAAGGATTGCAATGATCCTGACATCGATAAATCTATTTCCTTATCTTTTCCACATGATTAATTTTCTATTAAAGAAAATTGCATTTCTCCATTGAAGTAAACTTTTTCATTATATTATGTTCTTAATTCAAAATCTGATACTACAGAAAAGAAAATCTGATAGTACAGAAAGATACTGCACAGAAAAGCAAAAGGAACAAGTGAATCTGTGAGCTACTGCTCATGATCACTAATGATACCCCTGCCCTCTAAAAGTATAAGTTAAACAGGAAGTTGTTGAGTGATGAATCTGAAAGTGCATCACACGGTATAGCTGACTCATATAAACCCTGAAACCAAATTTCAGAAATCCTTGTAATGTAGTTCCTGAGAAAAATGCGACGAAATGGGACGGACAGACGGACTGATGGACTGACGGTTGGACGGACGGACAGACTGAGGTAAAACTTTTTTAAAAGCGGGGGTATAAAAATTTTCAAGTCTATACATATTTGACAAAGAAAAAAAGTCACCTCTGAAGTAGAATACATTTCGTGTGTATTTCTTATTTTTTACAACTTATGTACATATAAGTTTGTTATTGCTGATTTGAAGGTCCATATAAGTTTTGTGAAACTAATTGTTAAAGCATATAAAAATAAAACTATTTTTTTGCGCATGTCCCAAGTTAGGAGCCTCTGGCCTTTGTTAGTCTTGTATGTTTTTTAAAATTTTGTTCGTTTATATGTTTCGGAGTTTAGTGTGACGTCCATTTTTGCTGAACTAGTACACATTTTTGTTAAGGGGCCAGCTGATGCCCGCCTCCGATGCGGGATTTTCTTGCTGTGTTGAAGACCCATTGGTGGCCTTGAGCTGTTTTCTGCTCTTTGGTCGGGTTGTTGTCTTTTTGACACATTCCCTTTTTCCATTCTCAATTCTATTATATCATGATAACCAGGGGCAGAAATAAAGCAAAAAACTATACATGTACATGTATAATGCACATTAGTCTGAGTCTTATTTGTGTTCAGATCGATGGCTTAGACATTGCACTTTATATTAAGAGGTTTAAATTTCAGAATTCTTTTTAAAGCCTAAAGTCTTGTCAATACATGTATATCTTATTTAAAATAACATTATAAAGGTTATATAATATTTGAGCTATATCAGTACATGTATGTAATGATATTTCAATAAACTTTCGAGTTTACACAAATGAACAAAGAAATGTGTACATTGTAACTGCAAGGACAAAGTCTTAGAAATCTGTATAACTCACAGAATTGAGACTCATGAGAATTTAATCAGAAGTACCTCTTACTGTACTTATTTTGATCTGCCTAGAGTTTTTGGAGGCTTTTAATGCTGCTAACCTGTGCTTTAACTTTCTATGGAGAGGAATCAGAGATATGTACAGGTGTGGCTCCAACATGTTCGAATCCAACCTGCAACCTTGGAGGGTTTGGTTTCTCATTTTAAAATGACCTGTGACCTTTCACACAGGTTTATTATTCAATATTAACCTGTCAAATTTGTTTAAAAGTGACCTGGTGACCTAAGGGGAGTTACCTTTAGAACTTCTACATTTGTAGACAGAAAGTATAATGAGATTTGTATTTTCATACTGAATTATATCTTTGAATAGTCCAATACTATATATATATATATTGTCTAAAGAATAAAGCACATCTCTAACAGTTCTTCTTGTTAAGCTACCAGAATAAAATTCATTTCTGTTTTCATTCTGTATATACCAGTTAGCTATATGTAATATATTATTAAAAGCAAGGATGTATATTAGATTAGTTATTAAATACAAATCTCACGATTCGCGGTATTTTAACGGGATACAAAATAAACTCATCATAGATACATGTACCAGGATTGAAATTTTATATTTGCGCCAGACGCCCGTTTCGTCTACAAAAGACTCATCAGTGACGCTAGAATAAAAAAATGTTAAAAAGGCCAAATAAAGTACGAAGTTGAAGAGCACTGAGGACCAAAAATACCTAAAAGTTTTGCCAAATACAGCTAAGGTTTTCTATTCCTGAGGTAGAAATGCCTTAGTATTTCAAAAATTTTAAGTTTTGTAAACAGTTAATTTATAATTATGAACATATCAATGATAACTCAAGTCGTCACAGAAGTGCTGACTACTGGGCTGGTGATACCCTCGGGGAATTAATACTCCACCAGCAGTGGCATCGACCCAGTGGTTGTAAATAAACTCATCATAGATACCAGGATTGAAATTTTATATTTGCGCCAGATGCGCGTTTTGTCTACAAAAGACTCATCAGTGACGCTCGAATCAAAAAATGTTAAAAAGGCCAAATAAAGTTCGAAGTTGAAGAGCACTGAGGACCAAGAGACACGAATCCTTGTTAGTTATACGTCCTTGTTAAAAGGGAAAATAAACATTATCATGATTATAATTATTCAACCTTGAATAGACATGTCTTGGGTTTTGAGTATAATCTTTTTATTAATTGATGATTGCTTTACACCGCATCAGCATAAAAAAAGACTATATAGCGGCATCTTTTCTGAAATTTACCTGTATATCAGCTAAAAAAAACATTAATTGAAAATTAGAAATAAAATAAATACTACCTACAGGCTAAAAATGTACCCTATTTCATTCAACTTGAAGGCAGGAAACAAGCATATACATTTTTGGCCTCAAAAAATTATGGTACTAGTTGAGGACCAGTTAACGTCAGTTATCAGTTACCACCATTAGACACTTTTTGTAATAACAGATGCATTGCATGTATTAGGCATACTGCTATTGTACATGTATTTATAGTGATTGGGATTATAACACGATGTTGACTGCTGTTCCCCTTTTTTTGACATGTTTACCTAATATATAAAAAAGAAGATGTGGTATGATTGCCAATGAGACAACTCTCCATAAGAGACCAAATGACACAGAATTTAACAACTATTGGTCACCGTACGGCCTTCAACAATGAGCAAAGCCCATACCGCACAGTCAGCTATAAAAGGCCCCGAAATGACAATGTAAAACAATTCAAACGAGAAAACTAACGGCCTAATTTATGTACAATAAATGAACGAAAAACAAATATGTAACACATAAACAAACGACAACCACTGAATTTCAGGCTCCTGACTTGGGACAGGCACATACATACAGAATGTGGCGGGGTTAAACATGGTTTGTTTTGTTCACACATTGTTGTCAATATAATGGAATTTTATGCAACTGTCATACAAGTGAGAGGTTTAGCTAGCTATAAAACCAGGTTTAATCCACCATTTTCTACATAAGGAAATGCCTGTATCAAGTGAGGAATAGGACAGTTGTTTTCCATTCGTTTGATGTGTTTGAGCTTTTGATTTCGCCATTTGAAAAGGACCTTCTGATTTGAATTTTTCTTGTAGTTCGGTATTTTTGTTATTTTACTTTTTAGCAGTTTAGTGAGTAGATTCTTAAATGATGTTAACTGGTCCTCGTAAACATAAAATTTTACGGCAAAATCGGCACACTAGTATACCACTTAATCTTCATTTATAAGATGATTTTAAGATTGAGTGCTGCGACAGGCATTTATCTCTGAAAAAAAATTCCTAGACATCTTAATATAACACTAGGTACTTAACTTGCATTTTTGAAAAATGTCACCCGGTCACAAACTTCTATATGTTGATTACTTGGTTGTCAACCCCACCCAAACTTGTTATGCAGTAAATCAAAATTGATATATCTACACAATCATGACAATGGTGTATAACATGCCTACCTTTGTTGTCGGAATCATTATCTTATATATCGGTGTGTTATATTTCCAATCCGCTGTGGGTAGTTAAAATAATTACGGTTCGTTGACATACTTGGGGAGGCCTGCTACAAATGATCCTGACAACAAAGGTAGGCATGTTATACACCATTGTGTAGATAAATCAATTTAGATTTACGGCATAACAAGTTTCAGTGGGATTGAAAACCGAGTAATCGAAATACAATGGAAGTTCGCGACCGGGTGATATTTTTCAAAAATGCAAGTTAAGTACCTTGCGTTATATCAAGGTATATAGGAATTTTTTTCAGAGACAAGTGCCTGTGATTGAGTGTGTGGTGTTTAAACTAACTTTTGGTAACCCTTTTTTGTTAATGTTAAAAGAATATTTTGCAACAGGAATTCCTGTAAAAAAATATTTGGGAAATACCACAAATTTCTTAAGGTAACTTGTACCGGACCAGTCTATATCTTTAACATCTGTAACAACTAGTCCAAATAATTATGACGTTTTGGAAGGCTTTTTTACTTTTACGTCTTCCTGTCAATGAGGCATAACAAAAAATCAAAATCGAAAAATAGCTTCAACACAGCATGATTATCTGGACTACTGTAACAGCCAAGTGTGTGATGTGTAACGGGAGTGAGTATTCCTTCTGACTTCGTTGTCTTCCCCTAGTCTATCCAAGTTCTGGGATATTGGACAAGTAACTACGTATATAAACAAGATGTTTATTTTATAGACATATATGGTTTCAGAACACAAGTTTACATACAATAAATATAATATAAGTGGCAGCTAGTCTACTTGTTGTTTAAATAGAGGTTCCATATCTGCAAGCCAAAGTATGAGCATCTGCTCATTTCAAATCCTAAGCTGTAGACTGCCCTGAGCCCGGTAAGTGACGTCATACTTATAGTTCCTAGGGACAATGAGCCTGGATGGGATGTCAGGCACGTGCAAGAAACAGGAAGTCCCAACAAGAATAATTACATGGCCGGTCTCGGGAGGAAGAGTTACGAAACTACAAATAATACCCATATAAATAGTATAACTAACAAGTAAATAGAGTGACCACCATTAGTCATTATGTAATGAAGTCAGTGGTTGATTAAATAATTTTATTATGTAATTACAAAGTTAAGAAAGATTCTGAAGTTCAAATGTTCGATTGTTCACAACTGTCTTTAAAGTTGAATTGTTCGAATGTTCATATCGTCACACGGACACGTGATCGTATAGTGGTATAACTGTTCGGTACTGACTGAGTAATTCGGATGGTTAGTGAATTAATTCCAGCCTACCCACAAGGGGGAAGACCTTGGTGGAATCTCCTGTCGGATTCTATCTGTACGAATCTATCTCCGTTCGAGTCCAAAGCTGGATCTTATATAGTTCAGTGGGCCATACAAACGGTCCATAGCTGTAGGCCGGTTACGTAGTAGTCTGGTTGTGGAGTAATACTAGTCTGTGGTTAATTGTCAAACTATGCAATTAACCCCTGACGGATACATGTTATTTCACAGTAGACATGGTCATTTATTGGCTGCAGGGTATATGTCTATAATATTCGTACAGATTGTTATTAAGTGTCTAAAGGTTACATGTAATCGTTTCGGATTTGCTGTATTTAGTTACTTCCTGATGATTAACGTATGGAACACAATTGTGTTACATAATGCCTTCCATCCAAAATAGAACGAAAGTTCAATAAAATACGGTATTTTTCTTCCTGTAGGTTATTCTAATAGTTAATTGTAAGGTTTCCGGTAACCATCACCACAAATCTAGTTCATAAAATTCGGCAAATCCAACATCTGGATACATAGTGTTCATATGATTCATAAAGTTCAAGATTTGGATATATATTGTGCATACTTTTTCCCGTCACCATTATAGCATATTGTTCATCAACTGCTGGAAAGGGCACACATCTTTGTACACGTGTCGGTCATCATCATCTCCATTACGAAGTAGTTGACGCATCTAGCTGGTTGGTTCATCCTTCTTAAGAGGCTGTTAACATCGGCCTTCGGTTAAGTTTCGTCCTTGATCAATGGCGCAGAGGAAGACATCTCTCTGGAATCAGTAACATCTGTCTCAACCAATCACGTAGACACCATTTTGTACCCATTGTTCGTGACATTAGAACCAAAACTCACACCTTTCTTTTTGGCCAACCAAGATATATTCTGAACAAATAGACAGTACAAAAATATGGCTATTCCAATGAAGATCGCACCTTAATCCCACTGATAAACTTATCTCAATTTGGAAAAACTTAAACTTGTTAACTTCCCCTTATTTCTTTTTTTATTTATCAATCAGATTATTGATAGTTTGTTCACTCGCCTTTAGTTCGCTGTGTTATTCAAGCCTAGCAACATTTTGTAAAACAATTCCTATATATAAATCAATACGTTCTTTTTTATATCGAATTATCTGTTTAAAACAAAAAAAAATAAAAGGGGGAAACTGTCGTATACAACTTCTACAAGTTTGAGAATCCTACATAATGAAAACAAAAATATATGTATTTACACAAGACGTAAGAAAATCATTATAAATTTACAATCAAATAAGTTCAATTCGATCATTTTATATAACCCTACACCTACATGATACCTATAAAAATAATTACTAAAAATTATATGTGTTACTTTGTTACCAATTGTTATCCTTTTACGTCTTTAACTTTAGTTTCTCATTAATTAATCTTAATGCTAAATATAGTCCACAAATTTATTCTCATCACTCTTAAAAGTATTTAAGATTACATTGATAAAATTTAACAACGTCTTGCGCAATTTGTTACTGACTCTATATTTCCTATTTGACAACAACACCTTGTTGCGAAAAAAAATGCCTTTCTCCTTAATCTATTACATTTTTCCATAACAAGTTTATAGTTTCTTCATCATAATCTTTCCTTTCTTTTTTATATATATCATTTTAATTTGCTTTAAAACATCAGCGACCTACTGCCTATCTTTTTTATACATTTCATTATGACTGAATGTATATATGTTGAGATTTTATTCATTCTATTTTTTTTTTAAACTTGACTTACTTCTTAAAAACCAAAACAATTTAAAGTTTTTTATATGCTTATTTATGAACAAAACCCATTGTTTAGACTCATTTTTTGTTTTACTACTAAATTAATTATTTTCTTATTCTTATTTTAATTTCTGATAATTATCATAATTGTTTATAAAAAAAAATCAATTTTATTTTAATGCTAGTTTTCCTTTAATATCAATTATCTATTTCACTTAAAGTTTGTCATTAGTCATGAAGTTCATGTGTCTCTCATTTTTTACAAATATCAATCTACCACAAAAATACTGTAATTCCCTTAGGGCAAAACATATCAACATTTATCTTTAATGTGCTATTTTCTGAAGATACTTCTCTTTATCTATTAACATTACGTAAATAAGGCGTAATCTAACACCATAAAACAACTTGCACCATTTAATTAGTTAACATCACTTATGTTAATCGTCCGAAGGAGGGGTTGGAATCTAAAATTATAGACTATTTGTTTTCTCTAAACAAATGTGCGTAAACACTACCCAACTGCGTAAACCATAATCGTCAATGGCTATAACATCGCAAACATGTGAACCACAATGTACCCTTAACTTCATCTACCAAAGGTTCTAAATCAACCTACATATATACCGGTGCTCTACTAATTTTACGTAAGACATATATTTTCTAGAATAATTGAATGTATCTTCAAGAAAACAACCCATACTATAAATGCTATAGTATCAGACATTTTAGTTTTTTACATATGTACTCTAAACGAAAAACTAGCTTCTTCAAACTAAAAAAAAAGTTTTATTTTTAAGAATCATACTTATTATATATATAACGTATCTTATCTATTAAATAATTGCATATTAAAATAACTAAAAAAATATCTTCAATTGTTTTAAGAATATGTGTATTCATAATTCTCAAATTGACGTACAATATCTAAAAATACTAATAAAAAATTTCGTGCGAACCACAGCTCGTGAACAAACTTCTGATTTTAAGCCTTTTAAATATACGGCCTCACTCCCTTTAAAATTAAGAACTGTACTTAACATGTGTGCCATCCCTTGGAAAGCCATTTCTACTTTTTGCGCTGACATAGAAATATCTTGATTGTCCATAAAGAAAAAATGAAAGTAACTTAGTTCTTACGTTTTATATCCCTTTGCGTTGTTTTAGCCAATCCAAGTCGATCCTGGTCACACGGCATCAATTTGACTTATGTAATGAAGTCAGTGGTTGATTAAATAATTTTATTATGTAATTACAAAGTTAAGAAAGATTCTGAAGTTCAAATGTTCGATTGTTCACAACTGTCTTTAAAGTTGAATTGTTCGAATGTTCATATCGTCACACGGACACGTGATCGTATAGTGGTATAACTGTTCGGTACTGACTGAGTAATTCGGATGGTTAGTGAATTAATTCCAGCCTACCCACAAGGGGGAAGACCTTGGTGGAATCTCCTGTCGGATTCTATCTGTACGAATCTATCTCCGTTCGAGTCCAAAGCTGGATCTTATATAGTTCAGTGGGCCATACAAACGGTCCATAGCTGTAGGCCGGTTACGTAGTAGTCTGGTTGTGGAGTAATACTAGTCTGTGGTTAATTGTCAAACTATGCAATTAACCCCTGACGGATACATGTTATTTCACAGTAGACATGGTCATTTATTGGCTGCAGGGTATATGTCTATAATATTCGTACAGATTGTTATTAAGTGTCTAAAGGTTACATGTAATCGTTTCGGATTTGCTGTATTTAGTTACTTCCTGATGATTAACGTATGGAACACAATTGTGTTACAATTACAGATGTTTAAAAAAATTTACCTGAATTGCAGTAATTCTTATCAAAGCTTGTCCAAATGGTTGAGAAACTAAAACATAGCCAGCAATACCAAATAAGACAACAATGCATGTCATCAATGATATTATTTGGAAGGAATATTTTCGTTGACCCTTTTGGTATTCAACGACAAACGGCTCTGCAAATTCGTTTATTTTGTGTGCACTATATCCAGTTTGTTTGCAAAATTGATGCAATAATCTTATTTCGTGGTCCACATAGTCAAGCTTATCCTGCAAACTCATTTTTGCAAAACTTTCTGAGAGTGTTTCCTCTTCCAGCATCTTTTATACCGGTCTGTAAAACATACAACAGGAAAAAGGAAAAACCCCGCGAAAAACGAAAGAATGTACCTAATTGTATGATTTGGTCCCGATCTTGACGTTTTTCCACAGGAATCGGAAATTCTTTCAATAATAAGGTATAGGGGTGTCTCGGAGCGTCTTTTTACCACAGAACACCACAGAATACCACAGAACACTCAAAATGTACCACAGAACTACACAAATTACAACAAAACTACTGAAATATGCCACAGAACAGTAAAATTACTTTATAAAACGCAAATCTAATAATTCCGAATTATATTATTTCTTTAATTCGGGTTACACCAATGACATGATGATTGACTGGATGAGATAAAAATGATCATTACTTTTTTGTTATTTGCCATATTTTGTTTACATTTGGAGACCTTTGAGACACTAAACTAATGCATTGTAATAATGAAAATCTAAAATAAACATTTAAAAAAATATCTCAAAGATCATCGGGTAACTCTGAGACTACTATAACACAGTAGTCTCAGGGTAACTTTAAAAAAACACGTGTATTTTTATATAGTTAACAGGTAATCTTTGAGATGCCCCTATACCTCATTACTGATAGAATTTCCGATTCCTGTGGTTTTTCTCGTGTTAAAATGTTACTCGTCATATCAAAGAAATAAATGCGAAAATTTATTTTTATGATGTGGTAATAAAATAGTATAGTATTTCCTCTTATCATTACAATTTTTTGTAAAATATGCATCTTCAATGTAAATTATAAGGGGTATAGTCAGAATGAATATGGATTGGATCAGTTCTGTAGCACTGTCAACATATATATTTGTTCCTCCTAATAGAAGTTCATCTGGAGAGTTAGTTATAAACAATGCTTTAATACATTTTCCAGTTAGAACAAATATCATAAACCAATTATTCCGTCAGGAATAAATACTGTAATATTTCTTCCAGTGTAATAAGATTCCAGAATATTTCTTCCATTCCATGAAAGCGGGTTTGGATGAGAGGCTCTTCATTTCTGTATTCATTTTATTTTTTGGGGCTTTTTTCTCTATTCTATTTTTTTTTACCATTATTCTCTTTTCTTTATATTTATGCACACAAGTAATAATATTCTCTACTTTTTGTCGTCTCATTTTCTCCATTATTTTTTCCATTTTTGAGCAGTATTTTCCCTTTTCTATAAACTCCATCTAGATCGTCATTAATAAACTAGTAGTCTTGATGACTTCAATCTTATAAAGACTTTTTATGGAAATTGATTTTAAATCTATGCTCTAACTATGAGTTTAGATTCACGCTTTGAAAAGGGAATTTTGGGTCTTGGTGGCCCAATGATCTAAGTAGTCCAACTACTCAGGTATCACTAGCCTGTCAACGCAGAGGTCGTGATTTCGAACACCGAACGTGGCAGGTGCGCTCGATTCCAATCTTAATTGACAAGGATTGTCCGGCAGTTTTCCCGCCGAAGGTTGGTGGTTTTCTCCGGGCAATCCGGCTTCCTCCACCAATAAAAATTGACCACCCCGAAATAATCAATAGTGCTGAAAGTGGTGTTAAACACCAATCAATCAATCAAAAGGGAGTTCTTTCCGAAAAACTGAGAGAATCTGCCGTTTGTCCACTCGAAACAAGAACAGATTCTTAAAGTATAGTCGACCAATAGCTCATGCCTCATCATGGAAATCGATATGTACTATGCTTGCCTCATCATGGAAATCGATATGTATAAAAATAAGGAGATGTGGTATGACTGCCAATGAGACAACTATCCACCAAAGTTCAAATGAAGTGGATGTAAGCAATTATAGGCAACCGTACGGCCTTCAACAATGAGAAAACCCATACCGTATGGTGGGCTATAAAAGGCCCCGACATGAAAAATATGAAACAATTCAATTGAGAAAACTAACGGCCTAATTTATAATAAAACAATTTACGAAAAACAAATATGACAGACATGAACCAACGACCACCACTGAACTACAGGCTCCTGACTTGGGACAGGCACATAAAGAATGTGGCGGGGTTAAACATGTTTGTGAGCGCTCAACCATTCTCCTAACCTGGGACAGTGGTATAACAGTACAACATAAGAACAAACTATAAAAATCAGTCGAAAAGGGCTTAACTCATCAGATGGATACAAATAGAAATACATCTAACAAAAACACAGAGTGGACGTGGACGGGTACTTATATATCCCAAAAACAAAAATACACAAAGTAAAAACTTGTCTGAGAGTACTCGCAGTTACTGACAGCTAGTTCAACGCCAATAACAACCAATGAAAAACATCATGCATCTAAGACTAAAATATCAATCAGTACACATCCAACATCCAATGGATTTAGTGTAAAGACGTCATTAACAGTCAGAGAAAAACATGACCTTGTGCAATGCCAAACTATAGGTATCGACAGATTGTAGTACCGTGAAAGTACATATGTGTAATATTTAGTATGGTTTTAATTTACTGATAACAAAATCAATATTTATACAAATGAAAACAATATTCAAAAATTTAATTACAATGTTGAAAAGGTAACCTTTTAGAATAAGTTTATTTAAAGGATTGATAAGTTTACTCGGATCGTATCTAAATTTCCGGGCTCGGTTTACAACATCACCGTAAAATTTAGGATGTGCTATTCCGTTTAAAATAAGTTTTCTACAGGTACAGCCAAACTTGCAGACCAAATTTTTGTATATATGAAAGAATTTAGTAAAGGTTTAAAGTAATTTATGGTAACGAAATCCCTGACTTAATAATTTACTAGTAATACATAGATTACGCTCATTAAAATCCAAAACGTCACTACAGACACGTACTATGCTTTACGAATACACTCAGGAGCCTATAATTAAATGGCTGTCTGTTTGTTGTCTGTTTAACCCTCAATTTGTATCTAAGCTTCAAACCGAGACGGAAGATATCAAACTCACAAGTCGAAGAAAACCACGAAAAGACAAACAACAGGCTACAAAACACTATATAAAAGTTATAGCCCGAGACTGAACAACACGAACCTTACCAAAAACCTACTGTGCTCCGAAAGGGTAAGTTTACCGATGGTTTATGATTTTGGCGATGAGCGTTAGATAAGAGACAATTACCAATCCGTTATTGTATGATGCCTAATCACTTAATATAACCAGAGACTTTGACCTATAATTGTTTACTTTTTACACATTGTGACTTGGATGGAGAGTTTTCTCATTGGCACTCATACCACATCTTCTCATTTATACATATATACATGTTGGGGTGCTTTCTCATTGTTATATACCCCGCATCTTCTTTTATTCAGCAAATAAAGTTGTGGGTTCATATATATGTCTCTGATATAACTTATCAATGTATTTTATAAGAGAAACAAGACGGGTGTCGCATGTGGAGAAGTTTTTGCTTATAATTCCGGAACACCTGAGATCACACCCGGTTTTTGGTGGGATTCGTGCTGCTTAGTCTTTAGTTTTCTATGTTGTGTTTTGTATACTGTCGTTTGTCTTTTGGTCGTTTTTGTTTGCCATCGTGTTGTCAGTTTGCTGACGTATGAGTTTGAATGTATGTAGTATAACGAAATCCGAGTTCTATATTTTAATTATATTGACAGTTAACTTACTTATGATGGCGTTCGCATAACTAAAATCCAAATTTTGAAGGAAAGTTTGACGCATCACCCGGCCATGGGGAATTATGTATGTAATTAGATTCTTCTGACATTTACGCTAAAATGTACTACAGGAACTAAACGGAAAGAAATCAGTCTCGTGTGAATGGCAGTAACAGATTTGTGAATCAGTGAAAGATTTCAAATAATGAAAGTGCACAAAAAACTGTTACTAAGCTATAAAGATGCCCCTACATTGAGCGTCTTGTCACTGCAACACAACCAAAACAATCGTATTGCTTTGTATATAAAAAAGAAGATGTGGTATGATTGCCAATGAGACAACTCTCCCCAAGAGACCAAATGACACAGAAATTAACAACTATAGGTCACCGTACGGCCTTCAACAATGAGCAAAGCCCATACCGCACAGTCAGCTATAAAAGGCCCCGAAATGACAATGTAAAACAATTCAAACGAGAAAACTAACGGCCTAATTTATGTACAAAAAATGAACGAAAAACAAATATGTAACACATAAACAAACGACAACCACTGAATTACAGGCTCCTGACTTGGGACAGGCACATACATACAGAATGTGGCGGGGTTAAACATGTTAGCGGGATCCCAACCCTCCCCCTAACCTGGGACAGTGGTGTAGCAGTACAACATAAGAACGAACTATAAAAATCAGTTGAAAGAGGCTTAACTCATCAGATGGATAAAAATACAAATACTGCAATAACAAGTGGACGTGGCCGGGTACTTGTACATCCAAACAAGTGTGTTTGTTTATTCAACATCAGCTAGAGGTATAGGGGAAGGGTTGAGTAATTTTTGGGCTCTTTATAGCTTGCTGTTCGATATGAGCCAAGACTCCGTGTTAATTGAAGGCCGTACTTTGACCTATAATTGTTAACTTTTTACACATTAAGACTTGGATGAAGAGTTGTCTCATTGGCACTCATACCACATCTTCTTATTTATATTAACCCCGCCGCATTTTTGCGCCTGTCCCAAGTCGGGAACCTCTGGCCTTTGTTAGTCTTGTATGTTTTTTAAATTTTGGTTCATTTATATGTTTCGGAGTTTAGTGTGACGTCCATTTTCGCTGAACTAGTATACATTATTGTTTAGGGGCCAGCTGAAGCCCGCCTCTCGCTGTGTTGAAGACCCATTGGTGGCCTTGGGCTGTTTTCTGCTCTTTGATCGGGTTGTTGTCCCTTTGACGCATTCCCCGTTTCCATTCTCAATTTTATTGTAACGTTCATTACTAAAAGAAATAGACTGATATTTAAGTTGGGGATCTGTATTCCCATGTAACTTTCATATTAGGCAATATTTTGTTTTTAGATAATTAGTATTTTGATATTGAATATTTGGCGACGACTTGGGTACATGAACTTCACTGAAAATCGAGAAAAAAATAATGATAACGCAAGTATCTCCTCTATAAAAATTAGGTTGTACCGGCTAAACATTTTGAAATAGAGAAACAGTTGTTACTTCAAATACGCGGGAAAGTGAAAAAAATATTCTTCCAATTATCTTGGATCAATAAATTCATGTATTTAGTCCCAGCAATGATTCTATAAAATACCTATTAATTTTTACAGAACTAATCCATAGATCTTTCTTTTCTTTCTATACAATTTTTTGCCACGATTTCATATAAAAGTCTATATATACTCATGGGGGGAAAATATACTAGTATTCTTTGTATTAACTAACATAGAACCCCACGGGGAGTGGAATTCTAGGTAAGTTATAACTGTTTGATTTTAACTTGTTTATAACCTGTTTGATTATAATTGTTTGATTCTAACATTCTTATTAAAAATTCTATCGAAATTTTAGTTACCAAAATTAAAACAAAAGTTTGAAAAAAAGAAATTTTGTTCCTGTATGTCAATAAAAAAAAGTTTGCTTTTCTATTAAGTTAAAAAAAAGTGTGTCCCGTTTTAGAGAGGGGGTCTGTTTTTTATAATTATTTGATTCTAACTTTCTTCAAGTATTTGTATAGTAAGATATACAACTCCTTACTTCTTCAACAAAAAAAAGTTTGTTCCATTAAAAAATTTTGTATTCCCGATCCAAATTATTCTGAAAATTTGATAATTTATTGAAAAGTAGTTTGTCTGGTTCTGTAAATATTCATTTAGAACAGTGTTACAGGATGGGAGTTGTTGAACATATTTTAGACTGCCTCAAAATTATACTCTTCGAAAATTTCGGGTGTTATCTTCAAATCGGATTAGGAGGAGAATGTCTGTCGCACGATACACTGTTTTTGCACTGCGGCAAATTAATGTTCATTCAAAAGGTACAAAGTTAACTCATACTCAATACTAGCATATATGTTTTGAATAATTTTTTTTTAATGTATGATATCAATTTAAAGATGTGTGATATATCCCGCAATGGTGGTAAGTCGTGCACTTAAGGCCATTTTTTATCTTATTTTTCTGAAGACTTAATCTGACACGAGCAAAAATGTTCATAATGTTGAGCATATACATCAAAACTGTCAGATGACATGTTATAGGAGTTATTGCCCTTAAATGACAAATTTTACTTTTTTTTTTTTATTTTTGCCTTCTGTTTTGAAAACTATAATAGATACAGAGAAACTTAAAATGCAAAAATGATCAGCAAGACAAGTTCTACAAATATGTTTCCATATTGAAATCATCAGATACGTCAATGTCAGAGCAGCAACCCAACAACAAAAAGACATTTAGAGGGCATCATGTAGTCTTCATTTAAGGTTCATCATAACAAATGGACAAATATGGCCGTATTTTCACCTCAAAAACTACTCTGTGTACAGACTTACCTGTGCAGTTTGGAAAGTTTTAAGGCCTGGCATCCACTAGATATATAAAAGTTAAATCTATTTTGCATATCAGAAAGATAAAATCTTTTTTTGAATATGATGGGCATTTTTTTTCCTTCCTGCAGAAGGTGTAAAAATAAACACCTGAATTGCATTTGATACTGTCCACTCAGTTACTACCTTTAACTCACCTATAGATGTGTAGATATCTATTGTCCATGCCAATCAAGGACAATCAATACAATACAAATCAGTTGTTACCTGAGATGGAGCATCTCAAAGTTATATCCCAACTTAGTTTATTTTTACACCTTCAGCAGGAACGGAAAAAAATGCCCATCATAATCCAAAAAAGATTTTATATTTCTGATATGCAAAATAAATTTAACTTTTATACATCTAGTGGATGCCAGGCCTTAAAACTTTCCAAACTGAACAGGTAAGCCTGTACACAGAGTAGTTTTTGAGGTGAAAATACGGCCATATTTGTCCATTTGTTATGATGAACCTTAAGCACAGGTGTCTATGCAATGTGTGTCAAGCTGTATATTTTTATAAGGCTAATATAAAGCATGGGGTACCTGATGAGCTCCGAAAAGATTATATGTTTTTAAGGTGTTGCTTTGCATGTTTGTTTTACTAGCCTTCATACTTTTCTGTAGCGCTGCTGCAAATAATGTTGTCGTCTTGAAAGGCTATTCTAATAGACGTATTTACACTTGTATGCAAATTTGTCTGCCATTACATAAAACACACAGGTTCCCGTAAACTTTGACATTATAATTCAAAACATTTGACGTCACAATTAAAAAGTGATTGTTGCCTGACGTCAAAAGGTGATTCGGAGTAGATCTAAGGTCATTCGGTGGCAAAATATAGCTAAATACAGAAAGTGTTAATATGTTTATAGGCCACTTCATGGTAATTGCAGCCATATTGAATAGGGGGCAGATTTTTTGAATGGAGGTGGAAAAAGTAAGGAAATACGGGAAAACCTATGCATATTTCCAAGCAACTGTTCTGTTACAATCGGTTTCAATGATGTTTTCAAAGCATGTTTACCTCCATTATGAAAATCTGTCCTCTATTCAATATGACTGGACTTACAATACAAATTTGCAGGAAATCATATGCTACATGTTTTGGTATTATCATATATAAATTTGTGTGAAAGGGTATGCTCATTTTAATCATATTTATAAACATGATAAAGATATTTCGAAAAATTCTAAAAAAAACGAAAAAAAACAAAAAAGATTTTCCACCATGTTGTTGAAGGTTTTTCAGTGCCATAGTGGTTTAGACCTAGTCCAAATAATTATGACATCTGGAAAGGCTATTTTAGAATTTTCCTGTGATGCTTTCTTACAATATGGATGCAGAGTTGAGCAGTATCATTGTGAATTTTGCATACATTTGAAAAAAACAAGAACATACGGCCAAAATGTCTAAGTCATCATGTCCTAGCAATGCCTGATTTAATTTCAGTGAGACATCAACTCAACAAATCAAACAAAATTAAAAAAAAAGACATACAGGCCAGCTAATGTTTGTTGTACCAATACTTGGGTTTTTAAGGATCTCTGTTTGGTTAAAATCATTCAATTTCAATATTTTATTGGAAAGAGCACAATAGATGCGTGATCCCAATACACTGAATACAGATATAGTTAACTTAACAATTACATCTACAAATAAAAAAAAGGCAGCATTTATAATTTATGGATATGTAAAACACCATCCACCAGTGTGTTAAAGTAGACAACGCAATATTCTTAAACAAACAGCATTTTGTTCATAATGGAAAAGAAATGATACATGTATATATGGTGTATCAATTCATGACACAAAATTGCTATGCACACATAAAAAGACGAAAAGCAAGGGAACAGCACTTTTATGGCTGTTCTTCATCTCAGGGTGATGTCTTCAACATGGAGCAAAAACTTTCACCTCACTGCAAGTTCAAGATGGACTCCTAGAACAGCCACATGACTGAGAGAAATTCTTTGCTTGATAACCATAGTGCTTCATCTGTGTATTGAAGAAAACGGCTGCAGGGTAATATCAACACACCATAAATTAAATATGGCAATCTGACAATTTCAGTGTAAAATACTGGTACATCCTTATAATCTAAGAACAGTGTATGATAGAAAAACTTTTGAAATTGATGGAAAGTGACAGCGGTCAATATTTTGTTTCTATTAAAAGTAGCTATATGCATGATATAAAGAAGACAAGACACACTTAAATACAGGTGTACTGTAGCTAAAAGTTGTAATAAATGACTTATAATTGACAGAAAAGTAGAAAACCAAAATTACATACATTGACATGGTAGAATGCTACAGGTACTAAGCTTTTCATTACCCAAGTCTACATGTACATGCTAGAAAAGATGTCAATTAATTCAAAATAGACTAAGTCTATCAATGATAATCAGATACATATATATGTCATCATCTCAAATTCCCTGATGCAAGAAAATAAGATATAAACTACCACAACCACAGTATGCATAATTATTTTCATTGATTGATTGTCTTTTGTAGGTGCATCCCATTTATTGACATCATGTAGAGTATTACCTACAATTAGTATATATCCAGCCAGAAACAATAGTTTTTTCAGACATGGTAAGTTGCATCTTCGCTAGCCAAGGGTTACGATCCACTTCCCTCCTCTCCACCCTTGGCAGATTAAGCCAACATTTGTGATAACAATGTTGCGCCATCTGTCGGTAGATTAAAGTCACGCCCATTCCGAATACATTATTCTTGACCAATGGTAGCACTTGAACTCTTCAATTTGGAGGTAAAAACACGGTAGCGTCTAGATTCTACACACTTGGTAAAGCAGGAAACGGAAATATACATTGACATTCATGCATTTGTGCAAGAAACATACACAGGAACTTCTATTAGTTGATTAAAAACATTCAAATTGTCACTAAATATAGTTGTATGTTTAGGGATGTAAAGACTTGTTGCACAATAAGCACGTGGCAATTGTTTACATACACTTTCTACATTTACACGCAGCAAGTTTCGACTGCAACCAATGAAAATCATTACCTGTGTCTCCGAAATTCTATCTCAATCTGCCAAGGGTGGAGAAGAGGGAAGTGGATCGTAACCCTTGGCTAGCAAAGATGGGTAAGTTGTGAAGAAATTACATAAAATTTAAAATACAAGTGAGTCTCAGATTTGAAAATATGTGTAGGTACAATGTAGGTAGCTTGTATAGGTTAAGTGATTTTACAACTCAACAATATTTTATATACATTAAATACATTTAATGTAAAAAGTCTTATAACAACAACACTTTAGGGGCTGCTGCAGAAAATTTATTTATCGACATGTTTCGGTGCCTAGGGCACCGTCATCAGGATACAAATAATACATCGAGCATGCTTAAGTATAAAATCGGGTTGTCTAAAGACAACGTCATAGTATAGTGGTAGTTATGAAAGAGGAAGTGAAAGTGAAAGTATAAATAGAAAAAATATAAATAGATTGTCAACATGAAAATGAAAGTAAAACAAAATAAAATTGTTCATGTATTGAGTCTATGTTATTAATGCCTTAGCTGAAAATGTTATAAATTAAATGTACAAAAACGTGTCTGTCCCATAATTGTTCTGGTAGCTCATCTAGACAAATTGTTACATCGCTGCTGCTTGTTGTGAGGTCAATGTAATCTTCCTTGGTTAGGTCCATAACGTAACCATATTCATTTGTTGTGTATTGCGGTGTATTCTTTGAAAGAGAAGTATCTGAGTCTGATAGTTATAAGTCTTGTTCAAGGATGCTGATTGATGGTCTTTGTAGTCTTGAAGTGGAAGGTTGCTGGTCTTCATAGGGTGATTTACCTGCTACTATTCTAAATGTTGGGGTTTTCCCATTCCATTCCTTTTTTTGGACGGCTTCAAAGGGGGGTCTCCATTTTTCTACGGCTTTTGCCATTTCCCGTGGATTGTGTTGAATACTGTTGTAATCTTCTATAGCCTTCTCTGGGTGTTTGGATTTCAGGTGTGTAATAGCATTTGATTTTCTGGTAAAAATCGCGACACAATGTTTACACTCAAACAATGTGGAGACGGGTCCGTGGATTTCTTTGTGATGTCTTCTGAGGGTTGATATGCTGCAGAATGTCTTTGGGCACTTTTTACATTTGAATCGTGGTTTGAATATTCCAGTAGTTTCCTTTCTTTTTGTTATTTTAGTATTAGCCATATCTTCTATTCAGTCCCCAAGGTTCAGTACTTCCAAATTTGTGTATAAGAGCTTCTTCAGTTCGGAGTCTAACTTTTATGTTGTGTTCCGTGGTAGTTATGCCTGTTATGGTGACGTCGTTCTTATTGAAAAGAATGTTTCCCTTTTTAGAACCTACCGCAAACTAAATGTTAAATTGGTCCGTTGTGAACAGCATAAGGCTTACTTAACCCGATGTGAAATAAGGGATACGGTACCAAAGACACTAAAATCAAATATACAACCACAAGTACCCGATACAACTCCCGAATTCCTTTTTGAATGGGAAGACGCACAACTAGAATTTGGCAGAACATTAGTGAAACTTATAATTAAATACTGGAACAACCGATGCGAAATTATTTCATCTCAAATTGAAACTATGGAAAACAGATTAAAAGACAAAACAACTGATACTGAAATGGAACACATCACCAGTTTAATACAGAAAACAAAGTTATCCGTTGAATACGAAATTAATAATCGACCAGTGAATCCAGCTAAGCAACAATAAATCACCCAATTCCCAAGCATGCCGAAAGCCAGAAAATTCATTCAACGCAATACATATAGAAAATTAAAGAATAAACCACAAAAGGATACATGTGCCGTTATAAATTTAAGCAAAAAACAATTAACAGATGCCCAATACTCAGTTTTACAAAAAAGATTGAATTTTTGTCCAACACCAGGCCCACTAAATGATTTAGAACTTTTCAGAGATACACTAATCTTCAACCTTCAATCGAAGAATACGCTTAAAACATCATTTTCAAAAAAAGAACGACACCAGTGCAAGCACACATACACCCAACCCGTTCAAGTTACCTACAGGATGGACACCACCAGCAGGAAGAAATAAAGATTTGGACACATTTTTAAACCTTACTTCTGATGATATTTCACAAATTCCGAAAACAGGATTCATAAGGAAAAACCTAAAACGAGATGAATTTTCAGCCTTAAGTGAATTAAAAAATGACCAGACCATTATACTTAAACCAGCAGACAAAGGAGGAGCCATTGTCATCATGGACACCATAGATTACATGCGGGAAGCAGACCGTCAATTATCCAATACTACTTTCTACGAGGAAGTAAATAAAGATCTTAACCCAAAAATCGCAAAAGAAATAAGAGAATTCATTCTTGTGATAAAACATAAACTACCCCAAACTCTACACGAATTTTTATTACAAAAACATTGGCGAACTCCATTATTTTACCTTCTCCCGAAAATTCACAAAACAGGAAATCCAGGCAGACCAATTATTTTACAAATAAACTCTCCTACTGCAAATTTGTCAAAAATTGTGTACTACTATCTAAAACCATTCATCAAAGATATACCGTCTTACATTAAAGATACCACACACTTTCTACATAAAATCAACTCTCTAGGCGATATACCACCAAACCGCTTTCTAGTAACGGCAGATGTAAGCTCACTGTATACAACCATTCCACACAGAGAAGGAATATTAGCAGCAAAAGAAATACTAAACAAAAGACAAGAAAATTCACCAGCAACTTGGATACTTCTTAGATTTATGCACTTTATCTTAACAAAAAATTGCTTTAAATTCGGAAATAAATATTTTATGCAAATTATGGGGACAAGCATGGGAACAATTATGGCTCCAGAATACGCCATTATATTCATGGACAAATTAGAGAGAGAATTCCTTAACACACAAATCCTAAAACCATTAGTATGGTGGAGATACATAGACAACATATTCTTTATATAGCCACATACACTCAAGGATCTAGATTCCTTCATCAGTGCCCTCAACGAATACCATCCTAGTATAAAATTCACAAGTCACATAAGTGAAGAAAAAGTCGATTTCCTAGACACAACGGTAGTTAATAACCAAGGAAAACTACATACTACTCTATACACAAAGCCAACAGATGCGCACCTGTACTTACACTACAATTCATGTCACCCGAAACACCAAAAAGAAAGTATTCCATTCAGTCAAGCACTAAGAATAAGACGTATTTGCACACAAATTAATGATTTCGAATTTCACACAAGCCTCATGAAAGAACCTTTCCTGAATCGGGGCTATCCCCGTCAGGTTGTCGAATCTGCGATCTCCAAAGCAAAATCCTTAAACAGAAATGATCTCTTAAAACTGAATCAAACTGACCAATTCGTGAAGCCAGATATAATTCCATTAGTAATTAACTACCACCCAAATATAAAAAATCTTAACAGCATCATCAACCAGAGGAAAGATATCCTCAACAGGACCCTTGACACACAAACCTTCGCTACACAAAAACTCATTATCTCATACAGACGAGCCTTATCAATCAAACAAATACTAGTGAAAACCGAAATTGTACGCAAAGAAACCCACAAGGGGAGCCATCCCTGTGGGAAGAATTGCTATCTCTGCAAATTAATGAAAACCGCAGAAAGTGCAAAAAGTACCGTGAACAGCAACAAATAAAATAGATATAAAACACGAAATTACATGTAACACAGAAAGTGTGGTTTATTTACTAGAATGCAAAAAATGCAAGAAACAATATATTGGACAAACGGGAAATAGTTTAAAAGAAAGATTTAGGGGACATTTACAAGACATTAACACTGAAAATAAAAATAAACCAGTCTCGAAACACTTCACTTCGAATGGTCACAATAAGAACAACGTCACCATAACAGGCATAACTACCACGGAACACAACATAAACGTTAGACTCCGAACTGAAGAAGCTCTTATACACAAATTTGGAAGTACTGAACCTTGCATTGGGGACTGAATAGAAGATATGGCTAATACTAAAATAACAAAAAGAAAGGAAACTACTGGAATATTCAAACCACGATTCAAATGTAAAAAGTGCCCAAAGACATTCTGCAGCATATCAACCCTCAGAAGACATCACAAAGAAATCCACGGACCCGTCTCCACATTGTTTGAGCATAAACATTATGTCGCGACTTTTACCAGAAAATCAAATGCTATTACACACCTGAAATCCAAACACCCAGAGAAGGCTATAGAAGATTACAACAGTATTCAACACAATCCACGGGAAATGGCAAAAGCCGTAGAAAAATGGAGACCCCCCTTTGAAGCTGTCCAAAAAAAGGAATGGAATGGGAAAACCCCAACATTTAGAATAGTAGCAGGTAAATCACCCTATGAAGACCAGCAACCTTCCACTTCAAGCTTAAGACTACAAAGACCATCAGTTTTATAACATGAACATATTACATGATTAGTTGCATCATCACTTTTCATTTCTCTTGGAATTTACCATTATTGCAAGCATGCATAATAATGGAAGTTAATTTCCAGTAAAAAATATTGACAAGAAGCATATTTTCAGATCTTTTTCAAAAGCTAAAAGGATAATCTTGATAATGATAGGACTTAACTAGTGTAAAAAGGACATGTCCCACAGATGCACGGGTTAATGATATGGCACGTCTTGACAGAAAATTACGTGTCCAGGACTAATGTACGCACCTTAAAAAGAACACTGAATTATATATAAAAAAACATAAAAATAGAATATTGCAAGCAATAAATTAATTGTGTATAAAGCAATTGCCTTGAATAATATTCATCAGGAATGCTTGAGAAGTCTAGAGTTTGTACATGATCTAATAAATCTGTCAGTAGGTAAGGCCACTAACAGCATTGTTTAATTTTTTTTAACTTTCGATTAGAGGAAGTGACTTTAGAAGTTGTACAAGTTGATTTTCTTGCAACTTGCCTGGATGGACAAGGTAAAAAATGATAATGTAGAGGCCTGGAGTATTTATTGATTTTTTAACAAGAAAAATTATTTACAGCTGATAATCATGATAATGATAGGAGTCCTTGATTTGATTGGCTGCTAATATTAGAATGATAACTATTTTTAGAGGACAATGACAGACTCTGGGCCAGTGTGACTGGAGTAAGTAATACTGGGAAAAAGAAAGGAAGAGGAAAAAAACAAAGAAGCATTATCAACCTCCATAAAGGTCAAATAATAGGAGAAGGTAAATACAAACATCATATTTTATTTGTCATGTTTATTGTGGAGTCATTTTGATGTTTAAACAATATTTTTCCTTTGAATGTTGGGATATTCAAAAATTATGCTCTTACAGTTAACTCCATTGAATAATTTTATATATTTCAAAACAAAAAAAAATCATCTAATACATGTCATACATTTATATACCAACAGAATAATATAAATCTGCAATGTATCTGCATTTCATCTTGTATAAGATTTGTAAAAGTTCTGACACTTTTATTTTATTTAAACTGAAGTTAATAAACAAAATATCTTTAAAAAAGTAACAATATTTTGCCAGCTTGTGCCTTACCATTAAAAAATAAATTCCAACAGGTAATAAAACATTCACTGATATAGATATCTGCTTTATTAACAGGAAGAGCTGGTATGGTATGGCCAGGTCTGACATCAGAAACAAAAAGAGGAGATGAAATAATAAAAAGAAGTCAACATGGACCTAAACAGGAATACTTTGACAACATAATCAAACAGAGAGGTGCTAAACAGACATTCCGTTCTGTAAAACTAATGCCTCTACAGCGAGGATGGACAGGAACAACAAGGGCAGGAACAAGGTCATACCCACCTGACCCTGTTGGTGATTGTAAGTTATATACTCCAGAAACAAGCTTCTGGTGATTGTAAGTTACAAAATGTACTCAAAAACAAGCTTCTGGTGATAGTAAGTTACAAAATGTACTCAGAAACAAGCTTCTGGTGATTGTAAGTTACAAAATGTACTCAGTAACAAGCTTCTTGTGATTGTAAATTCCTCAGAAACAAGCTTCTGGTGATTGTAAGTTACAAAATGTACTCAGAAACAAGTTTCCGGTGATTGTAAGTTACAAAATGTACTCAGAAACAAGCTTCTGGTGATAGTAAGTTACTCAGAAACAAGCTTCTGGTGATTGTAAGTTACTCAGAAACAAGCTTCTGGTGATTGTAAGTTACTCAGAAACAAGCTTCTGGTGATTGTAAGTTACTCAGAAACAAGTTTCTGGTGATTGTAAGTTACTTAGAAACAAGCTTTTGGATATTGTAAGTTACACAGAAGCAAGCTTATGGTGATTGAAAGTTACTCAGAAACAAGCTTCTGGATATTGTAAGTTACACAGGAACAAACTTGTGGTGATTGTAAGTTACTCCATAACAAACTTTTGGCGACTGTAAGTAACTCCAAAACAAGTTTCTGTGACTGTAGGTTACTCCAAAACAATCTTCATCTTCTCATTACACCATCATGAGAACAATTTATAGAATGATGATAAAGTTTAAATGATCTAACATCTTGTAAAATGTATATATATCCAGTTGCAGGTAAATGTACTTTAAAAAAAGTAATTAAAAATAACTTATATCAAGCCTGAAAATGAAAAATATAAGTACAATTTTATCAATGAATTTTTATATTCTTTCAGATGATTTTGAAGGATTTGAAACCAGAATTTTACAGGTACAGTTTACAATACAATAATTATTACATTGTTCTGTATAAATATAAGGTAGCAATACACAGTTAGGAGTTTGGTTTCGCATTTTGGCGCCGGTGGATTTTTCAAATATGAAAGTTATTGTGTAATAAAATTCATTTTTAAGAACATCAAGATTATTTTTTACATGTTTTATGGGATATTTTCTGTTTGACTCTCCGTATTTTCATAGCTAGACCGGTCATCGGTCCAGAAATTAATGTAATGTTTACAAACACTTTTTTTCTACACGAAGTTTTGGACGCAATTTTACAAAAAAATGAGACGAAAGACATATGATTTTCATTGGATTTATGAAAGATATATGTAAACAGTTTCAGAAAAGGTATTACTTGAAGTGATTGAAATTCTACTTTTGGTCAAATTTTGAGGAAATATGTGACATCTTTTCCCCCTTTTTGCTATATTTTATAACAAAAAACTGCAGATTGCCATGGATACACAAAAAAGAAATTATATTTTACCATTTTATATACTGGATATGAAATCTATGGAAGATTCTGATTACATACATATGCACATATATGACACAAACAGTGAGCTTAATATAATATTGCAAGAAGGCAATGAAAAGGGGATGGTAAAATTATTTTTAATATTTTTTCCTAACTGTTTATTGCTACCTAAGGAGATGTGGTTGATTGCCAATGAGACAACTATCCACCAAAGTTCAAATGAAGTGGATGTAAGTAATTATAGGCAATTGTAAGAACTTCAACAATGAAAAAACCCAAACCGTTGTGTATATTTTAATTATTTGATTAATGATGCAGTTACAATATAAAGATAATACTTATATGATTTGAATAATGACAGAATCCTTTAATATAATTGGCAACACACACTTCTGATAGTGATTTATGTGGCAGGTTTTTTCTGTAATTTGTAAATATATTTATGTACAAAACAAATCAATGGGATGTACTACACTATGTGTGCATACTGGGGATTGACAAAATATATTTTCAAAACAAATGATCTACCAGTTAAAGAACTATAAGGATTAAAACATTTTATAGAGTTTATTAATGTGTATAATAGACCAATTCACTCACAAACTTTACACAAAAGTCTTGAGTAATCTCTGTACAAATAGAATTGGTTCTGACAGAATTCAAACCTTTGGACTTATTTTTATTATGTAGTTGTATGATAAAAAGTTACAGGTTTTTTTTTTGTTTGTTCGAGTAACTCGCTTCAGCAAAAAACAATTCTTGGATGCTTAAAAGAATAATTTAATATACTCCTGGAGGCATTGACAGCAAATGTTTTGTTTGACTGAGCAAAAAGAAATGAAATATTTTAACTTTGTTAATTTCAGCTAAAAAAAGTAACCAATACAAGTGGAACTGTAAAAGCTGTGTTTAGGTTTTCTGCCATGGTTGTTGTGGGTAACAAAAATGGTATTGGAGGTAAGTAAACACTAACCTTCTTTTTCATTTAGTAAAGATTATGTCTGTTTATAGTGTTTGCTGCAGCTTGTGCAAAAGTCAAAGAAAAAGATTGTCATAGATGTATTTTCAGCATTTATGTCTTCTATAAGGTAACAAGACAACACAACGGCACAGTGACATAAAGATTTAAGAATTGCATTCCACAAAACTCACATTTTCACATCTTAGAGGATTATTTGTTCACATCGTTAAAAAAAATCAATTTATATGACATTTTTGTCTAAATGGTCAACGATCACATTTCTAATCATTTCTAGATTTACAATAATGCTTATTGTTTTTGACTAGTGTTTACATCAACCACTCAAAAAATGAAAAAGAACACCTTATAAATTTCATGCATTTGAAGGGCTTTTCTTGGTTTACCTTCATCAGGAATGCTCAAAGCTGAATATGTGAAAGCCAATGATGTATGAGAACTAAAACAGATCAAGAGCTATATGACCAAAAAGGACCTAAAATAATAGCCAAATTCATCTAATGTGCTGTATCCATATGTTGTCACTTGAATTCCCTCCAAATTTCAATGTAGGTTTAGTCTGATCAAAATTTGAAATTACCCCGAGTATCAGATGTTTTGGAGAGACTGTACATGTTTAAACATATTTCTTCTTAAAAGAATTTTTATGCGCCCACCACAAGGCAAAGGGGGCATTAAGTGTTACCCTTGACCGTCTTTCCGTCCGTCCCATTTTCGTTTGAAAAGCAAGCTTGAACTGGGGCATTTGTGTTCTCAGACACAGTCTTTTAGATTTGAAAAATAGCATTCTCAAATAAAAAATCTTCAAATATACATATCAGATATGGGAAATGGAGCTTTCATTGTTTTGATTTTTATAACATCAAGACTTTTTATAGTTTTTGTCGAGCTGCGACTTTTGTCGCAGAAATCTTGACATAGGGATAGTGATCCTGGTGGCGGTGGCTACGGCGGCGGCGCCGTTAGCTAACTTCTTAAAAGCTTTATATTTTAGAAGGTGGAAGACCTGTATGCTTCATACTTTGTATATAGATGCCTTATGTTACGAAGTTTCCATCTGTCATATGTCCTTTGTCCTTGACCTCATTTTCATGGTTCAGTGACTACTTGAAAAAAAAGTTGATTTTTTGTAATGTTAATTTCTCTCTTATTATGAGTAATAGGATAACTATATTTGGTATGTGCGTACCTTGCAAGGTCCTCATGCCCGTCAGACAGTTTTCACTTGACCTCGACCTCGTTTCATGGATCAGTGAACAAGGTTAAGTTTTGGTGGTCAAGTCCATATCTCAGATACTAGAAGCAATAGGTCTAGCATATTCAGTGTATGGAAGGACTGTAAGGTGTACATGTCCAACTGGCATGTGTCATCTGACCTTGACCTCATTTTCATGGTTCAGTGGTTATAGTTAAGTTTTTGTGTTTTGGTCTGTTTTTCTTATACTGTATGCAATAGGTCTACTATATTTGGTGTATGGAATGATTGTAAGGTGTACATGTCTAGCTGGCAGGTGTCTTCTGACCTTGACCTCATTTTCATGGTTCAGTGGTGAAAGTTAAGTTTTTGAGTTTTGGTCTTTTTTTCTAATACTATATGCAATAGGTCATCTATATTTGGTGTATGGAAATATTTTATGATGTACATGTCTGTCTTGCAGGTTTTATTTGACCTTGACCTCATTTTCACAGTTTATTACTCAGTGTTAAGTTTTTGTGTTTTGGTCTGTTTTTCTAATACTATAAGCAATAGGTCAACTATATTTGTTGAATGGAAGGATTGTAAGTTGTACATGTCTGCCTGGCTTGGTTCATCTGACCTTGACCTCATTTTCATGGTTCATTGGTCAATGTTTAGTTTTCTTGGTTAAGTCTGTATCTTAGAAACTATAAACAATAGGTCAACTATATTTAGTGTATTGAATGATTGTAAGGTGTACATGTGTTTCTTGTTTGGTTTATATGACCTTGACCTCATTTTCTTGGATCATGTTAAGTGTATGTGATAGTTGTAGTAAAGCTTTATATTTAGGACTATCAACATAATATTAATGATTAGTAAAGAAGGCGAGACATTTCAGCGTGTGCACTCTTGTTAAGAATTTACCCATATCTATAATTTTTTCAGGTTATGCTGTAGCAAAAGCTAAAAAATGGGATGCTGCCGTAAGAAAGGTATGTAGACTGGTGTTCTACATCAGCTATACATAATTCATTGGAGGGAGATATATGGTGTTCAATATGCCTGTCTGTACTGAAAAAGATCTCTATCAATTGTTTAATTTTGCATTATCATGTACAATAGAGAATGGAAATGGTGAACGTGTCAAAGAGACAAAAACTGGACCAAAAATCAAAAAACGACCCAAGGTGCAACGATGAGTCTTCAACACAACGCAGCCAAGAAAATCATGCACCCGGAAGGGAGCTTCAGCTTGCCCCTAAACAATAATGTATACTAGTTCAGCAAAATGGACACAACACTAAATTCTGAAACATACAAATGAACCAACATTTAAAAAAACACACAAGACTAACAAAGGCTAGAGTTTCCTGACTTAGGACAGATGCAAAAATGTGGGGTTAAACAAGAAACATGTACATATTGAGACAGTTGAATAGTTTGAGGCAAAATGTTACCAAAATTAGTTATAATAAAACTCACTAATATATTTTTATTAACAGTATGTGTTCTAAGTAATTTATATTATTTTTTAGGCAACTAATCAAGCAGCTCAAAGATTACAATATCTCCATAGATATGAAGGTCATACATGTAAGTCTTACGTCAAGAATATCTACAATCAAGATATTTTAAGAAAATTTTAAATAATGATTCCTCTAGCACACAAAGTATATGCAAACAACTATGCATTGAGAAGCCTACAATATTCATATACATGTAAGTCAAAATGTTACCTGTGAGCAAAAGGATTTGAGGGTATATATATCAATGAGCCTTTAACTCATTGACACAAAAAAAGACATCTAGAGAACCAAAAAAAGTCTTCTAAAAGCCGTTTATACAAATGTGTCAAGCTCTAATTTGACAAAAAAAAAAAAAAAAACCAATGTGAACAAATTTAACAGAGACTATCAAAGATTTGCCATCCACACCAAATTCCCAATTTTCCAAAAAACATAACATGATTATGTTAATTTGAAGAGCTTTTTAAATGTGATAATTTAAAATACCATACATAAACAATATAAAAAAGAAAAATGAACAGTAAGAACTGTTTCAAATGAAGAAGCTAAAGTTGTGTGCTTTGGGTTAATTATTTCAGGACCAGAAAAATTCTGCATATTGATTAGACAAATAGTTACTATATTTTCAAAAATTTACAAATAGGAAAATTAATTTTGTTTTTACTACTGAGGAATTTAGCTTTAATTAATATTTAAGCTCTTTCCCACAGCTTATAATTTCCAGGAATTGTGTAATGTATGAATTATCTCAGATGAAAATATATTAGGCATGTAGTGATAAACTTGTTTTCTTTCCATTAAGGCTTACTATTAACTGCAAAAATGAACATATCCCAGCAAATATCATGTAATTTTTAACAATTTTCTTCTGTTGTAGTGAATCACAATTTTTTCTCCCAACAGACAGCAACAAAAGTGTATGCATTTAGAAAAGAAGAAGGTATGCTTAATATAGTTAAATACTTGTAAAGGTAATTGTCTCAATTCTTTATAAATTCTATATGATCTGTTCTCAAATCATATTTTGGAAGACCAAATACAATATAGTTATTAATTGAGCATGAGTTGTATGTATCAGTAGCATAGTTTTGGCAAGCAGTTGCCATGGCTTCTTGAAAACCTTTTAATTTGCTTTTTAACAACATGAAAAAATTAAGCTTTTTTCTTTGTTTTTGATACATGTACATTAGGCAACACCAAATTAATTTCTTGTTCTTCGGAATCTTTCCTTTGAAAAAGGGTAGCGAGAGAGCAAAATGTTTTTTTCAAAGTTTGATTTTTGGCAGGCGAAAGAATTGTTTACTAGCGAGCGATATTATTTTTGAAATACTTAAAAAAAAAATCTATGAAAAGAATTTTAAGCAAGCGAGCGATTAGAAATTTACATAGTTTCGGTGCTTGATATTTTATATATCTGATGTCCTAGTTCTTATATTACCTTACTTTGCTTCTCAATTTGTTCTGTGACACCTAGTTTAATCTTTTCACAACATTTCCAAGTATAAAATGGTTGACTTGTAGCAAAACCTACAACCTTATGTAGTCTGATCAAATAAATATGATCAAGCTGAACATGAAAAAGTGTAACAGCTTTGAACAGGCATGCATCCATATTTAATGTAAGTTATAATTGATGCATTGTTTGTTGTTTCAAATAAACGTATGCAAAGCATAAATGCATGTATAATACACATTTGTGCATACAACTAGCTGAAAATTAATAAAGGACTGTCCTTAAAAAACCACACCAATTTATACTTTTCAAATGATCCCGTCAAATGCTATATGCTAACTAAACAAAAGGAACATTTCAATACATTCTTCTTAGTTTTTGCTTTGCTGTAGAATTTAATGACAATCAAATTTTTATATATATACTAGGTCACACCCGCGACATCACCGGTCCGTGACTGAATTGAAGTACCTACGCCTTATTTTCAAGCTGGATTTTTATATTGGTATTGTCATTTGATAAAGTAATGCTGATTATAAGGTGTACAGTTTTCTCTGCTTTCAAAATCTTTCTGTTTGAATTCATCTTGGTTTTCTTACTTCAACCAGAAACTACTTGTAGATATATTTTTTGGTCAATGATTGAATTTAGTAGTGTCAATTCCTGTATAATGATGAAGTTCAGGTGTGATAATGACCCGTGTATGTAGCAAATTCCAAATACACTATTTGGTAGTGCGCCTGACAGAGTCGGAACGTACAGATTAGGTAACAGGTAAAATGTGACATATACTATTGGTATTGGACTGGACCCGGAACTTGTTAATTATTGGTAATATTGAATGTGGAAAACAAAAGGGCCTTGAATGGTGTAATTTTTAATGAACACCATTGTCCTATATTAGTTATATATAAAGTTGAATTATTTGATTCATTGTTTTTACGTCATGCCGACTAAAAAATTGGACCTCATTATTTTAGCAGTATAGATAAATGCTTGTGCATATTGCTCTGTGTTGAAGGCCATACTGTGAACTAGTTACAGACCTCAACAAAGTTGGTCTCTGGTGGAAGGTTGTCTCGTTGACAACCATACAAATTCTTTTTTTTAGAAAATTTTGTAAATTGTAAAGTTGGATTAATGTGTTAAATTCAATTACCACATAAACTTCCTTGTCAAATTCCATGCTTTTTATATAGTATCATTACAAAGTTATATTATATAACTTTGTAATGATACTAGCAAATATAATAAGATTAAAAAATTTCAAGGAAAAACTTTTATCTTAAAACGGTTAAAAAAAAGTAAACAATATAATACATGCAGTTTCATTTGCGGTGCCATTTCAATTCATGTACCATCAGCTTCAGTCTTCATGGTAAACTTTTAAATCTACAGACCCAGAGCTCAATTTTTGGAAAATTTTAGTTAGATTCTGTTGGCATGTAGAGATGATTTTTACAGGCCAGACAGCAATTTTACAAGCCTGGACTGCTGGGCCTGTGATTGAGCGTGAAGACTGCAGCTTTGGGATTCTCATTTTTTCTTATGCATGTTATATTGTCATATTTTAAATCTTTCAATTCGGTGGCGTCCATGTTTTGTCGTTTGTTCTTGATCTTGATAGGTATATAATTAAACATCCAAGGATAATTATTACTAAGTAATTTAATTAAGGGGGACCCCCTCACAATATCAGTGAAAGTTTTAGCTGGCTCTTCTGTTGTTTGAATCTTTATGAAAATATCAGGTGTTAGTAGCTTCCAATCTTTAATTGTGTTTGGTATGAAGCTGAATTTTAAGATGTCTGATTTTGTTTGCAGTCTCAGGAAATGTTGGCCGTATGCATGTTCTCAGTTGTCCTAGATGTTACTTTCAGTTGATCAGCTGATGGTAAGTTGGCTTGGTCGTGTATGCCTTTGGAAAAGAGGATAAGTCTGTTTCGGGTTCGAGGACCTTTTAGGGATGTAGAATTGCTGTTATACTTCCTAAGTCGCAATTGTAGTTTGATGTTATAAACATTTGTGGTCCAAGTTGCAGTGTTGCAAGGAGCACTTCCAACAAATCGGTAAAAGAATCGCCCAAATCATATTCTGCTGATGTGTTTGCCTACGTTACCACTGTTACTACAAACATTCCACTCATGTCTTACGTTAAGAATGTATATCATTCTAAATTTGGCAATAATATTGTAACGTTTTTGTTGTCAATTTCCGTGTCTGGATGACGTTACTTTCAAACGCACAACTGATTAAAAATTTGTGTGTCATAAATTTAAAGACGAACACGGGTTTATAAAAAAGTACTTTTTTCTGGTTGACCTTTCACAACACGCTGGGAATCTGACGAACGAGGTTTATATTTGGCGTCGCCTGAAGGAGTCCAGTGAATAATACTATAGTAACACAAATTTCTTTAAAATTTTCTTGAAAGATAATTGATATATTTATCCTGTATGGACATTTATTAGTCCTAATTATATACACTAAACAAATTTGCCAAAAAAAAGGCCTAGTTTTGGCCTGATTTTTTTTTAACCTATCCTAAGACCTCTCACATATTTTATTCTAGGTTATGGTTTAGTGTGTCATCGATGTTTAAAGACAATCTGTGATACAATAGGAATTCATAATATGTATGCTAAAGTTGAGGGGTCAACTAAAAATATTCAGAATTTGACAAAAGCTTTTTTCAATGGACTTAGAGAACAGGTATGTTAATCTGTATATATAGTGGTTTCCTTGGTTACAATGTTTCTGTAGCATATTTTGGTCAGTATTGCATGTAAACTGCAAGGTATTTTCTTAAAAAGCGGGAAATTTACTTCAGTGTACACTGTACATAAATTAAGTTATGTGTTTGGACTACAGCAGAATGAAAATAGATTTACATGTCTCAAACCTTGATGGCTGAGTGGTCTAAGTAATTCATTTACTGTGTTCACTATCCAGTCGGTTCTGAGGTTGTGAGTTTAAACTCAGCTCATGGCTTGGTGAGTTTGTCATTGATCTTAATCGATGAGGATTGCCTGCTTTCCTGGCCAAGGTCATTGGTTCTCTTTGAGTCTTCAACCAATAAAAACTGGCTACTTTGATATATCCAAGAGCACTCAAGGTTGTGTTAAACACCAACAAACAAACAAATAGATATATCTTAAACTAGAAGAAGACAGTGCTTTCAGATTAAATATAATAACAGAAGAACACATTCTGTATGTGCCTGTCCTTAGTTAGGAGTCTGTAGTTTAATGGTTGTCGTATGGTGACCTATAGTTGCTAACCTTCTACATCATTTGTCACTGATGGAGAGTTGTCTCATTGGCAATAATACGACATCTTCTTATTTTTATATTTATAGTACTTATCAGTAATACAAACTTCCAGTAGCATCCAGTTTAAATAATTACTAATGCATCAAATGTATGACACATTAATCAGATTGTGTAAATGGACTCATTTCATTGCAAATTCATTTTTTTTCAGGAGATTCTTACTAGTATTTGTTTTTTGCTTCATTATTGCCCTTTAAGTGATATTTCAAGGGTAAAACAAACAAATTTTTTTTTAAATGTAACTTATGGACAGAGTGCATTTACAGAACACTGTTCAATCAAATGATGAACCACCGTTATTTCATAATTTTTTACATAGAGAAGACTGATGTAATATGTCTTTACAGGAAACTCATCAAGAACTAGCTGATCGGTTGAAGCTTCATGTTGTGGAAATAAGAAAAGAACACGATTATCTTCCTGTTGTTGTAGCCTCCCCTTGTGATGGCGAAGTTACAAAAGAACCACCACCAAAAGAAGAGCTTAATTTTGAAACATTGTACTTTGATGGCAAAATGTCATTGCAAAAAGGCAAAAAGAGACCATTTTATGCTGAGGATGAAGGTCATAAACGTGCTGAAAGACATAGAAGAATGTTTAGAATTCAACAGAAGGCACGCCACGAAAGGATGATATATGACCTTGAACCACCAATAATGCCCAAAGAGGGCGAAGAAAGTTGAATGTATTGTTGAAAAAGTAAATAAATATGTTTGAATTTCCATATGTATTTCAACTGTTATTGGTTAGTTTGTGTTAGATGTCACCCCAGCAGACTTGAACTTAGATACTTTAAACTGAAAATAAAACATTTTACCATTTAGCAATAATCCAAACTTGGGAACTTATTCATTTTTTTTGCAACCTGCAGATAATCATTATTTATTTGTGTAATTATGGCATTTTTTCCTTTTTCCTTTACCAGACAATTTACAATTCTGTGTTGCTATCTGGATTGTTATAATAGCATATCAAGTAGCTAATTAGGCTCAATAAGTGAAAGGTCAGTATATCCATTTTTATACGCCCATTTACGGGACGTATTATGGTATCCCGTTGTCAGTCGGTCCGTCGTCAACATGTTGGACAACAACTCAAAAACACCCCAACCAATTTTCATGAAACTTTGATGAATTGTTTATATCTATTGACATACGCTCCCTTTCGATTTTTATAAATTTATTGAATTTATGTTTCCGAGTTATGGGATTTTTTTCATAAATAAAGGGGAAATTTTCATGTATTTAGGACAATAACTCATAAATGCTTTGAGCAGTTTTCATGAAACTTTGATGACTGGTTTATATCTATTAAAATAAGCTCCCTTTGGTTTTTATATATTTCTGAAATGACATTGAGGAGTTATGGAACTTCATTGAAAAATCTAAAAATGTATCATGCGCTGATGGAGCAGCTCTTTATTATCATTTTCATACAAAACATTCAAAAGGAGTTGATCTATCTGGCCACCATACCATTTACCTTGTCAAAATTTAGGTTACTCTATTGTTTTTGTGATAAAGTAAAAGAATAAAATCTTCTGACATTAAAAACTATATTATGACCCATATATTTAAGCTTAATTTGAAAATTTGTCTTGAATTTCTTGTTTAAAATTTGTAAAATGATCCAATTGAATTAAAAGTAATCTTTTGAAAAAATTGGTATATAATATGCCTATTTAGTATCTGTCTGAAAAACACTTACTCAGAGTCTGAGAATACATGAAAAAATTATACTATGTAAATCTTTAAAAATGATTTTATAATTGATTTAAAGCATTGTTTTTTAAAATTGAAATGTTTTGATATTAAAAATGTGTGTCTTAATTCATTGAAGTTTAAAAAAGCACAGTTTAAACAAGGAAAACAAGTGAATAAATATATTACAAAAAACAGTCAACCAGAATAAAAAAAAAAACTAAAAATCAAATATTTAAAAATTTGTATACTTGTATACCTTAGCCATGTAAGCCCTAAGCTTAAATTTTAAAAATTCTATTTGGTTTGATATGTGCAGCCATTTATAGATCTCATTAACACTGTGTATCATCGCCACCGGAAATTGGGTACTAACCAAGCGGAGAACAATGGAAAAAAAGGGTAAACAAGGTAAGAATTCATTCAATTTAAAGCATTTCTACTGATTTGACGAGGGTACCGCTTAAGAAATGATTTTCTAATATAGAATTCTTTAAATTATTAGGCCGATAAGTACAAAATTAAGAGAAGATTTTGTGTTATACTCCAAAACTTGCCACTTAGTACCTGAAAATTTTGAGGTCGATCCTCCTTTGTCGCCCCATTGGCAAGATATTCAACTTTTTTTTTATTATTTTGCCAGACACACCAGTGGCGTAGCTAGACTATTTTTAAGTGTATGCCCTAACCTCGGCAAGGGTCTTGAGGGCCTCAATAGGATCCAGATTATAACACCTACTATAGTAGTGGGGTCGAGGGGGGAAGGCCCATTTCTGTCATTAAAAACTAATCAATAGCAAGTTGAACATAGAGACTATTTTTTTTTAATCTTTTATGTTTAATTTATTCATTGTGTTGATTGTTTGGAATCTTATGGTCATTGGTGTTAGAAATATCCAAACCAGTTAGTTTAAAATATGTTTAAAAGGAACAGTGGGGTAAAGCAATTACTCTACCAAAACCCCTTTTGTGCAAATGTCGTTAATGGATATGAAATGATTAATTTGCATAGATGGTCCAGGAACACAGTTATTGTCTTTTGAATATAGACCCTAGTGTGGACAGTGTGTTACCTGGTTACTTGCCAATCTTTTTATACTACTTCCAAATTTATTTCTTCATGTTTTATGCCTCAAATAGCAAGAAGGGGGGTGAAGTTACACTGTAAAAAAAATTGGGTCATGAATTTTAAATTAAAGTAGTGATTTGGTCCAGCTGAAAAAGGTTAAAAATTAACATTTCGGAAGCTGTCAAAAGATTTCAAGACCCCCATAACATAAAATTGTCCATATTTTTAGTTAGAGCCTATGAAGTTTTCTATGATTTTGATATGATTTGTCCCAAAAGTAGTACAACACACTGTAAAAATATTGTTGAGAAAGCGCAGGTGGGATTTTTTTTTTATTTTCATTTATCGTCTAAAGAAATGCACTACGAAATAACTGTGTTCTCGGACCAGATGTTTAGTTGCATTATGGAAATTCGTAAAGAGTTCCGAAGAAACGTGGTTCTCGCCTGGGATTACCGCTTCCCGCGAAAATTGAGTCCATTTATCAGTCCATTACAGGATTTTAGATAATCAAACATTTTCTTGAGATGTTTTTTTTTCTTGATCTGGAATATTAACCTCTGTCCAAGTTTCATGACAATATCTAAACGTTTTCAAATTGGTCATGTAGAAAATAATAATCACAGACCGTCTGTTAATTGCCAAAAGATAAGTCCGTATATCAATTGAAAAATGAAAAAAATATACTTTCAAAATTTTGCTTCAGACATAAATCACAAAAAAGCTTATGCCAAAGTTTCATAAAATTCGATGAAGGTTTGACAAAGTCATTGAAGTGTAACAAACTTTAACCACATAATGTATCTACTTGTTAACTCCAAAAAGAAATTCTTTTTATCAGTAAAATACGGGAAAATTAAAAATATGAATTCATCATTATGCTCTGAATACTCTTTTGAGAATGAAAAGCTTCTGTTCAACTTTCGTAAAATTTCATGAAGGTTGAAGAAAAAACACCCATTAACCACATATGAACCTAAATGTTGATGCCGCCGACGAAATCTAGGATCGCTATTTCTTGATTTCGCGACATGAATGTCGCAGGCTCGGATAATATTCAAAGCACATATCGAATCTCAGCTGATTATGAATTACTTTAAACAAAAGGAGAGGAAGAAGAATTCCAATAAGTAGATTCAGACTTTGACTGACAGAAAGTGAACAAATAAATAATACGGTACCATCTGATTGAAAAGTACATTTCGTCACTTTTATTCGCAATTACAAGCTATTGAAGAAAGAAGTACAAGACTGATGTGCTTTAAACTAGATCTTTTTAAATTATTGATATTCAAATATTTTTTTTACCAAATTTCAAGTGTACGCCCGGGCGTTTTGACGTAAACGTAGGTACGCGCCTGCACACTTTTAGATTATTATAGTGTGGCATCATATTTACTGAAATTTGTTGTCAAAAAGATGTTTTTTAAAGAATATAGACCATAAAAAATAAAGTCTAGGGTACAGCAACTTGTTCGTGTTGACAAATTTACTGTATGGCAACTTGTTTTCAACTGTATGGCAACTTGCTCATTTTAAAATATTTATTTGCCGTCCTTTTAAAGAAAATAAAGTACAATGTATTAAGTTCAAATATCTAATTATGCATTTGATAAAAATACAATTCGCTTGACAGCATTTAAGATGTATACACAATATAAGGCTTGAACACAGTCCTATTACATCTTTTACATACCCGATGTATACAATATGAATACGGCATATACAAAAGCTGGCAAATGTTTCAACTTTCTGAAAGGCATGTCACTGTTTCACTGACCTGTTTTTATGTCCCTGATGTTATATGTGTCTGTCACTGGTCAGGAACATGTAATCTAGCGACTGTCGTAGGTTGCTGTCTGACATTTGTTCATGATTTTGTCATAAATCAGGCAATTTTGATACGGTATATGGGTTTTGTTCATTGTGAAGTGTATAATGACCAATAGTTGGTCAAATCTGGGAACAGTATATCTAATTTATATGTTCCTGGTCAAATCCATTTCATTTGGACTTTGTTGGATAGTCCTCTCATTGAAAATCATTCCACATCTCCTTATTCAATTTATGTTATTGTCTTATTTGTAAAAGGCAGATACAGCCAATATATTAGAATAAAGAACATTAATTTTCTAGAAATGAACAAGCTCGGTGGCTAACACTGTTTGAATTTTTAAAAATATTAACATTATTAATCATTTTTGGAAAGAATGAAAGAAGAATCCGATACAAGGGATACAAATCTTGCTGTGGCTGCGGCATAAACTATTTATATAAACTTTCTACTTGAGAATAAAGATGACCTTGTATGAAGTTTTTTGTTGTTGTCATTTTAACGCTATATACTTATAAATACAATACACAAAAGCTAGCATCTTTGACTTGTAAGTTAAAGAAATATCATCAAATAGCATCTAATAAGGACAGGTTGAAATATTTTTTAATTCCTGGAGATGCATACTCATAAATTCTTTTGGAAAAATCCACGAAAATTTAAATGTTGATTTGATAGCGTTCTTATATTTATTTGCCCTCGTAAACAGTTTTGTTAAAATACCGAAATCGGTAAATTCTTTTCGTGAAATAATAAGTCGGGTACACCTTTTTACATTCAGGCGTGCTTTAGTTGCACTTTTTTCTTCTTATTAAGAAAAATGATTTTAATTTTAGCATCTATCTAAAGATTAGATTATTTACACATACGATGATACACCGTGATTAAGGTCATGTACCAATAGATATATCAGTTACTATTTCAAGTCAAATAAGGTCACTGTGAATTGGTTGTATGAATTTTGTATCTGCAACACCTAACCGAAAGTAGATAACACTATATAAATTTTGTACATCTTAAGCGCTTTTCTGGATTTGCCTTCACCAGGCGAGATCAAAGGAAAACATTTGAAATCCAGGGATGTATAAATGTGTTAAATTGTGAGAAAAAATATGTCCGAAAGGAAATAAAAAGGTATAGCTTAATTCATCTAAGGTCAACTTTGCCTGAAGGAGTTGGAAACTTAGTTTTTATACGACCGCAAAACAATTTTGCGGTCGTATATTGGTATGACGTTGGCGTCGTCGTCGTCCGAAGACACATTGGTTTTCGCACTCTAACTTTAGTTTAAGTGAATGGATCTCTATGAAATTTTACCATAAGGTTAAATACCACAAAAGGAAGGTTGGGATTGATTTTGGGGGTTACGGTACCAACAGTTAAGGAATTAGGGGCCAAAAATAAGCATTTTTGTAACTTCCAGACATAACTTGTGTGTTAGTCTATGGATCTCTCTGACATTGTACCACAAGGTTCCATATCACAAAGGGAATGCTGGGATTGAATTTGGGGTAATTGCCTCAAAATTTTAGGAATAAGGGGCCAAAAAAGGGGCAAAAAACAAGCATTTTTCTAGTTTCATATTAATAACTTGTGTGTAAGTTTATGGATCTTTCTGAAATTGTACTGCAAGGTTCCATATCACAAATGGTAAGCTGGAATTGAGTTTGGGGGTAATTGCCCAAAACGTTTAGGAATAAGGGGCCAAAAATAATCATTTTTCTAGTTTCCAGACAATAACTTGTGTTCAAGTGTATGGATCTGTCAGAAATTGTACTGCAAGGTACCATACCACAAAGGGAAGGATGGGATTGAGTTTGGGGGTAATTGCCTCAAAATGTTAGGAATTAGGGGCCAAAAAGGGGAAAAAAACAAGCATTTTTCTAGTTTCATGATAATAACTTGTGTGTAAGTGTATGGATCTTTATGAAATTGTACTACAAGGTTCCATATCACAAAGGGAAAGCTGAGTTTGAGTTTGGGGGTAATTGCCCTAAACGTTTAGGAATTAGGGGCCAAAAAGGGGCCTAAAACAAGCATTTTTCTAGTTTCCAGACAATAACTTGTGTTCAAGTGTATGGATCTCTCTGAAATTGTACTGCAAGGTACCATACCACAAAGAGAAGGCTGGGATTTAGTTTGGGGGTGATGAATCATAAGGGGGTTTAAAAAATTTGGGGGAGGGATTTTTTTTTCTTTAAATTTTCCATTTTAAATTGGTTATTTCTGATTTATATATAAAAGCAAATAATAATGATATGCTTTGAATAGGTAAATTGAAGATATTTTAAGTTCTTAGACCACATTTATTGTGTGTCAGAAACCTATGCTGTGTCAAATATTTAATCACAATCCAAATTCAGTGCTGTATCAAGCTTGAATGTTGTGTCCATACTTGCCCCAACTGTTCATGGTTCGACCTCTGCGGTCGTATCAAGCTGCGCCCAGCGGAGCATTTTATTTATTAATTTCTTTATGTATCTATGCACAATCAGAAACTAGATTTCAAAAAAGAAAAAAAATTATGTATCAAATGACATGGAGCACTTCCGGTCTTGGTTTTTTATCCAAATGTTTTTTCAGGGTTCCCCTCTGTCTAGAATTCATAACTTATTCTAACTAAGTGACTTTATTTAACTGAAACTGTCATAGAATCTTTTAGATACTGCCATTAATCATCTATTATATTTTTTTCATCTAAATATTTTTGGTGTACCCAACATAACATGGATTTTGCCATATCTATAAAAAATAAGGGTGTAGGATATGAATTTGCCAGCTCTACTCAGTTTTTGTCTCTCCTGCGACGAAAGTAGCAGTATGCAAGACATAGGAATTACTATCCGGCAGCGGCGGCTGCGGCGTAAACTATTTGTATAAAGCTTTATATTTTAGAAGGTAGAAGACCTGGATGCTTCATATCTTGTATGCAGATACCTTATGTTACGAAGTTTACATCAACCTTATTTAGGTTAATTTCTCAAATACTATAAGCAATAGGACAACTATATTTGGTGTATGGAATTGTAATGGGTACATGTCAGTCTGGCAGGTTTCATCTGACCTTAACCTCATTTTGATGGTTCATTGGTCAATGTTAAGTTTTGTGTTTTGGTCTGTTTTTCAAATACTTATAGCAATAGGTCAGCTATATTTGGTGGATGGAATATTTGTAATGTGCACATGTCTGTCTGGCAGGTATAAGCTGACCTTAACCTCATTTTCATGGTTCATTGGTCAATGTTAAGTTTTTGTTTTGGTCTGTTTTTCAATTGGCATACGCAATAGGTCAACTATATATGTCTGTCTGACACGATTTATCTGACCTTGACCTCATTGTCATAGATCTTTAAAAATATTAAGTTTCTGTAATGCTATTAGTTAAGCCTTCATTTTAAGACTTTCAATATAAAATCAATGGTCAGTAAAGCAGGCGAGACATTTCATTTTTATGCCCCCGCCGTAGCGGAGGGGGCATTAAGTTTTACCCTTGTCCGTCTGTACGTACGTACGTCCCGAAATTGGTTTCCGTTCTCTAACTTGAGTTTGCCTCAACCAAATGTTATGAAACTTATACACAATGCTTATTACCACAAAACACAGATCAAGTTTGAATTTTGGTGGCGTCACTTTAACCGATCTAGAGTTATGCCCCTTTATAAAAGGAAATATTGCAAAATTTTTAGTTTCCGTTCTCTAACTTAAGTTTGCCTCAACCAAATGTTATGAAACTTATACACAATGCTTATTACCACAAAACACAGATCAAGTTTGAATTTTGGTGGTGTCACTTTAACCGATCTAGAGTTATGCCCCTTTATAAAAGGAAAAATTGCAAAATTTTTATTTTCTTCTAAATATCAAGTTTATATAATATATTTTTAAAATTGGAGTTATCTTCCTTTGACCATGATTATAGTTGAATCAACTACAATCAATGCTTTATACAATGCAATGTTTAATTTTGACTTCCACTGATAAAACACAGATCAAGTTGAATTTGGGTAGTGTCACTTTAACCATTATTGAGTTATGCCCCTTTATAAATAGAAAGATTGCAAATTTTTTTAGTTTCCATTCTGTAACTGAAGTTTTCCCCAGCCAAACATTATGAAACCTATACACAATATTCATTACCACAAAACTCAGTAAGGATCAAGTACATTTTTTTTGTTTCAGTTCTCTAACTTGAGTTTGCCTCAACCAAATGTTATGAAACTTATACACAATGCTTATTACTACATAATACAGATTAAGTACGAAATTAGGTGGCAACACTTTTACCATTCTAGAGTTATGTCCCTTTATAAACATAAAAATTGCTGAATTTTTTAGTTTGTCTCAATCAAATGTTGTAAAACTTATACACAACCGTTCTAGAGTTATGCGTGTTTACAAATAGAAAAATTGCTGAATTTTTAGTTTCTGTTCTCTACTTAAGTTAGCCTCAACCAAATGTTATGAGACTTACACAAAATGCTTATTACCACAAAACTCAGATCAAGTTCAAATTTGGGTAGCGTCACTTTTACCGTTCTTCAGTTATGTCCCTTTATAACTATATGATATGCAAGCGGGGGCATCATCTGTGTCCACATGTGGACACTATCCACATTTTTTCATTTTGTTCTAATTTAGTTTTGGGTAATATGTATCATATTTGAAACAATTTTACCAAAAACAAGAGATCATTTAATGAGAACTTTTTAAAAATTTAATCAGGAGCTTTTTTTAGAGAGATTTTCCCATCAGCATGATTAATCAAAAGCTTGATATTTCCTCATGATTTTCATGTAATCCTTGGTAGAAAAAAGACTTCATTCTTCACAATTTCTTACTTCTAACCAAATTTAATTGACACATTTGGTCTATTTCTCATCGTTATTGTGCATCGAAAAACCAGTTAACTTGCATGCAAGGGAAATAACTAACAGGTAATCTTTAAAAGGTTTCAATTGTGATTAATTGTGTGACTTTTTTCTTAGGTGGTGATTAGGTAGTATTCATTGAGGAACCTGACAACTTCTGCAGATCAATTCAAAAATGTTTGTCCCAGGATGGGAACTATTTGACCTTTCACTAATTATAATGTTGCAAGGATAAAATAGGTTGTGTTGCAACTATTACACAATGATGTCTTCGATGAAGGATTGATTTGCGTTTAACGCCACTTTCAGCACTAAAGTGCTATTTCGTGGAGGCCAGTTTTTATTAGTGGATGAAGTCGGAGTGCACAGCGAGAACAACTAACTTTCAGTAGAATAACTAACAATCCTAGTCAATTAAGATTGGAGTCGAGCGCGTTGGAGCACATTCGAATTAAGGAAATCCTGTACCCAATTTTGTCAGAAACAATGAAGAAAGAACCAACTAGGAAATTAATTTTCTCTTGCTTCAAGTAGAAAAATTGTGATTTCCCTGATGGTCACTTTAAACAGGGACTAAGTTGCAACGTTGAAAAGTATGTTACAAAGATAAGTTAGTAAGATATATGTTGAGAATCGTAACGATTTATCAAAACTACCATTCTCAGACAAGTTTTGAAAATGCACAGATATCTAGATAAGTAAAAGGCAAGTAAAAAATGTCCAGTGTCTGCTTACCGACAGGAGTCGGAACCCTTGTTATTCTAAAGCAGCTGACAAGTTGATAGAAAATGGCATTTTTAAATGTCAAAGATACATGGAACATATCGATATTGATGCAGTTTATTATAATATACCAATTATCATTTTAACGGATAATTAGAAACAGCTGATTAAAATATTGTCTTTATTCTCTGTGCAATTATTATCCACCTGGAAAAAAAATCAACATTTGAATATTCTAAAAAAAAAAACTTTCATGAGGCTAAATAAGATGCACATAGGAAAATGTAGCAATAATCATTATAAAGGGGAAAAAAACCCATACCGTAAGCTGCTCATGATAGCTTTTACTAACTTTTTTTATTAGTTTGTAGTGAAGCTAAAACTTTGAAGATAATGACAACGAGTCAATTGTGACAGTGCTCATTACAGGATGTATTTAATGACATAAAGTCAACTGTGACAATTTGATTGCAGGATGTTGATAATGACAGTGAAGTCAATTATGACAGCGTTCATTGCAGGATGTAGATAATGACAATAAAGTCAATTGTGACAATGTTCATTGCAGGATGTAGATAATGACAATGAAGTCAATTATGACAACGCACATTGCAGGATGTTGATAATGACAATGAAGTCAATTGTGACAATGTTCATTGCAGGATGTAGATAATGACAATGAAGTCAATTGTGACAATGTTCATTACAGGATGTAGATAATGACAATGAAGTCAATTGTGACAATGATCATTGCAGGATGTAGATAATGATAATGAAGTCAAATGTGAAAATGTTCATTGCAAAATGTCTTAAAATGACATTGCTGCAGGATTTTTTCTTTTTTTCCTATTCAAGTGACATATGAAATTTGACATAAGAGCACCCCCGGGGTAGAACTCAGCTCCCTTGCGTGTTTTCGTGTCGATCGACATTTACGAAATCTACATTTAATGGTTTTATTAACACGACGGGTGCCACATGTGGAGCAGAATCTGCTTACCCTTCCAATCACTTTAGATCAACCCCGGTTTTTTGTGGGGTTCGTGTTGCTCAGTCTTTAGTATTCCATGTTGTGTTTTGTGTGCTGTTGTTTTGTCAGTTTATTTTAGACTTATGAGTTTGAATGTCCCTTTGGTATCTTTCGCTTCTCTTTTACAGTAAATATAATTAGTACAACATATGCAATTAAATTCCTAATGATGAATTAAAAAAAAATATTGATTTTAATATGGATCAGTGTCGACTCTTGTTTAAAATGGGTTTCATACTTTATGAACAAATATGACACCGCCTAGTAATATATGTTTTAGCCAATAGAAACGCATATTATCAACAATGTAGACCTGCAGTAAACATTCACGTTTTCTAAAAATTACACGTACACTTACAAAAATAGCTGGAAGATACCACAGAGACATTCAAAACTTAAAAGTCGAAGAAAAACTGACAACGCAACTGGCAAAAGTCCATAAAGCACATAGAATTCTTATGAACAACACGAACCCCACCAAAACCGAAGGATTTATAAAATTCATTTTGTAGTTGATTTCCTGTTTGTCGTGTTGCATTGTCACGAGTATTTAATTGAGGGTCGTGATATGAACTCAAGATTTCGGTTCTTTTATTTGTTGTGGTTTTTGTTTCTTAGGCGTTTACCCAACATCTTTTTTTTATTAACAATAGTAGCTATCTTAGTATCGATGGACTTTCCCTTAAAACACGATTTCAGTCAACTACAAATTTTTTAACGAAGCAATATAATTTTCTTATTACCATGGAGATATCCGTCATTAGATCCATAACCTGTTCCAGTTCCATGGACAGTTTGAATGACAACTTTCTTATGACCACTGCCGTATCCGTCACCAGATCCATACCCTGCTCCAGATCCATACCCTGTTCCAGATCCTAACCCTGCTCCAGATCCATGGACAGTTTTGATCACAACTTTCTTATGACCACTACCGTATCCGCTACCAAATCCCAACCCTGTTCCAGATCCATACCCTGTTCCAGATCCATGGACAGTATTGATGACAACTTTCTTATGAACACTACCGTATCCGTCACCAGATCCATACCCTGCTCCAGATCCATACCCTGTTCCAGATCCCAACCCGGCTCTAGATCCATGGACAGTTTTGATAACAACTTTCTTATGACCACTACCGTATCCGCCACCAGATCCCAACCCTGTTCCAGATCCATGGATACTTTTCGTGACAACTGTCTTATGACCACTGCCGTATCCGTCACCAGATCCATGAACAGTTTTGATCACAACTTTATTATTACCATGGCCGTATACGCCACCAGATCCATACCCTGCTCCAGATCCATACCCTGCTCCAGATCCAAACCCTGCTCCAGATCCATGGACAGTATTGATGACAACTTTCTTATGACCACTACCGTATCCGTAACCAGATCCCAACCCTGTTCCAGATCCATGGATACTTTTCGTGACAACTGTCTTATGACCACTGCCGTATCCGTCACCAGATCCAAAACCTGTTCCAGATCCATGGACAGTTTTGATCACAACTTTCTTATTACCATGGCCGTATACGCCACCAGATCCATACCCTGCTCCAGATCCAAACCCTGCTCCAGATCCATGGACAGTTTTGATGACAACTTTCTTATGACCACTGCCGTATCCGTCACCAGATCCCAACCCTGCTCCAGATCCATGGATACTTTTGATGACAACTTTCTGATGACCACTGCCGTATCCGTCACCAGATCCATAACCTGTTCCAGATCCATGGACAGTTTTGACGACAACTTTCTTATTTCCACTGCCGAATACGCCACCAGATCCATATCCCGATCCAGTTTGATGGGCAGTTTTAATTACAACTGTCTTATGGCCACTGCCATGACTGTAATCGTCACCAGAACCATATCCTTAAATAAAGTACATGAAATCACATATTATATGGAATATGGGGTGCTCTTTAGTAAAAGAAAAAACCCACATACGTTCTAAAATCAATTTCATGGTATCTATGATAAGTTTATTTGGAGTTGATTGACAGCATGTCATGTAGCATTGACACTTGTGTGTCACTGAGAGTTGTAATATGAACCCTAGATTAAGGTCCGTTTATATTGTTAGGTTGCTGTTTATCAACATCTATTATTCATACAAGGAACTATTTCAGTTCTGATTGATTTTTCCGGTTTCAAAAAGTAGATCCTTTTCCACGAAATGACATAATTCTTTGAGCTAAGTGTTCACGTAATGTTAGAAAATTGAAAGAGTTTAATGAAACTGATACATGCTATTTTTGTTTTTAATGTTTTATATATTTTGAGCTGTGAGACGAAGGAATATAGGGTAATTTCAAGGGTAAATGAGCTCATGGCTACTGTGAAGCCCGAAAAACAATATATTATACAGAATACATAAGCAAAGGAGAGGCGAAAGATACCAACATGATATTCAAACTGATTAGTCCAAAACAAACTGACAATGCCATGGCAAAAAGCTAAAAACGACCAAAAGACCAACAATAGTTTACAAAACAATACATAGAAAACTAAAGACTGAGGAACAAGAACCCCACCAAAAACCGGGGATGATTTCGGAGGCTCTAGGAGGGTAAGCACATCCTGCTCTACATAAGGCATCCGTCATGATGCTCATGTAGATACAAACACTGATAAGTCTAATTACTGAAAGGCTACCATTCAAATTCCATCATAAGTCGGGATATAGCAATTCGATATGATATATATTCGTATTTTAAAAACTATATTTCTCATTATTGGTGTTCGAAAAGAAAGATAAGACATCCCAATCGCTTAATTTTAAAGAGTATTGAATCAAACATGGAACCAAAGGAGGACACACAAACTACATCAGGAACAACTTTGATACATCCGGAGGAGGATCTTATTTTTCTATAAAATGTACGTCCTTTTTTCAACAAAAATGTTTTTAAAGTTTAAATATGGAAGTAAGATTATTCAAGAACAAAATGTATTTAGAAACATATATTCCTCTTATTGTCATTTCTTTCATTACAAGTATATAGAAAAGTTGACCTCCGATGGATTTGGCTATTCTTTTAGGTTATTTTTGTTCATATAGCTCTTCAGTATTTTCAAAAGTATGCACACATCCTTGGCATTCCTTTTTAAGAAGTTTCAGCATTCAAGATGAAGGTAAATCTAGAAAAGCGCTTCAGACGCACCAAATTTATAAAGTTTAATTTCATTTTAATCTTTTGATTCTTTTTGATGTTCATGCTTTGTTTAGAGTAATAATATTGAGAATGCAATTTTCGAAATGTACATATAATGCATCAGATCAAGTTTGGTATGATAAAATTTTGTCTTTCTACAACGGGGTCGGTGCCATTTCTGATGAACTATACATTGCTGAGGTGATCACTAGCCCGGCAGCCAATGCCGTACATTTATATGTTATTTTGAAATTGATTCTGAAAAAATTGTCAGCTTGGTTTTAAAATTTCTGTTTTTCCGGGTGAAGGTAAATCCATAAAAGCGCTTCCATATCTCATTTCATCTTTTTTACTAAACATGTGGCTTTTTAAAAATTCATTTGTTATCGACCAATGCAAAGTGTTCTTAAGCGGATTTCGACGCCGTTTTCAACTATTATTGGATTGTTGTTCTACAACTTTTTATACTTATGGATTCTTTTATTTGGGTACGATCCTCTTAATGATCAGTATATTTTTCCAAAATGCGTATATGATGCGACAAACTGAATTCAGTTTTATGTTATTTTGAATTGATACACCTGATTTATGGGTAAAGGGTTTACCACAACTATCTTTTTGCAAGGTCTACTCCGTATAAAATCTTATCATATCAATTTCATAGTTTTTATTATTTGTTAATCGAATGACAGTCGTATTCATCTTAATGAGTAAAAATGCTTTTCCTATTTTATGTATAGGTCTCTGTCCGTGGTTGGCTGTACATTTGGTCCTTTTCGGTTATATCGGCCCATCAACGTCTGTTTACGATTTTTGATTACAAACTTGAACACCACTGAAGAGACAAAAGTTATCGAAAAGCACATCATTGCAGTAAATTTGGTAACGTTTAATGTTTTCAGGAATAATTTTGATGATAATGTAAAATGCTCACTTAAAATATATTGTCGAAGCGATGCATAGCTTGCCATGTATTTTACCGCTTCTGAATAACTGAAGACCATTTTTTTTTATCCCTATCTATCTCTTCGGGTTAGACTTACCATTATTATATGTGTTATATCCTTTTCCCTTATATCCAAACGGCAAAATCTGTACAACTGTGTTCTTTTTACCATGATATCCGCCATATCCATTTTGTCTTCGATGTATGACAATATTTTGCTTGAAAGGAACACAACCGTATCTACTCTTCCTATATCTATATCTATTTCCGGTATGATGAACAGTTTTGATGACAACTTTCTTATGACCATGGCCGTATCCGTCACCAGATCCCAACCCTGCTCCAGATCCATGGACAGTTTTGATGACAACTTTCTTATGACCACTGCCGTATCCGTCACCAGATCCCAACCCTGCTCCAGATCTATGGGTAGTTTTGATGACAACTTTCTTATGACCACTACCGTATCCGTCACCAGATCCAAACCCTGCTCCAGATCTATGGATACTTTTGATAACAACTTTTTTATGACCACTGCCGTATCCGTCACCAGATCCCAACCCTGCTCCAGATCCATGGACAGTTTTGATGACAACTTTCTTATGACCACTGCCGTTTCCGTCACCAAATCCAAACCCTGCTCCAGATCCCAACCCTGCTCCAGATCCATGGACAGTTTTGATGACAACTTTTTTATGACTACTGCCGTATCCGTCACCAAATCCCAACCCTGCTCCAGATCCATGGACAGTGTGGATGACAACTTTCTTATGACCAATGCCGTAACCGTCACCAAATCCAAACCCTGCTCCTCTAGATCTATGGACAGTTTTGATGACAACTTTCCTATGACCACTGCCGTATCCGTCACCAAATCCAAACCCTGCTCCAGATCCCAACCCTGCTCCAGATCCATGGACAGTGTGGATGACAACTTTCTTATGACCACTGCCGTAACCGTCACCAAATCCAAACCCTGCTCCAGATCCCAATCCTGCTCCAGATCCATGGACAGTGTGGATGACAACTTTCTTATGACCATGGCCGTATCCGTCACCAAATCCAAACCCTGCTCCAGATCCTAACCCTGCTCCTGTAGATTCATGAACAGTTTTGATGACAACTTTCCTATGACCATGGCCGTATCCGTCACCAAATCCAAACCCTGCTCCAGATCCCGACCCTCCTCCAGATCCATGTACAGTTTTGATGACAACTTTCTTATGACCACCGTCGTATCCGCCACCAAATCCAAACCCTTGTCCAGATCCCAACCCTGAAATTAATTAAAATGATAGTGATTCAACATGCTATTTTAAATCTTTCCATGTGATATTATGTTATAGAGAAAGTCCAAGTAACTGTCCATTCCTGGGAAATAATGGAGCGGAGGCTCGTAGGGCCGACGCCCATTATTTCCCAGGAATGGACAGTTATTTGGACTTTCGCTAACTTAAAATACACCTTAAATATTAAGAAAGAATCTTTAGATTATAACATTTTAAAGAATTTTATTTCATTTTGTAATGGTTTTCTTTTCATTTTCCCCGTGGAGTACCCAATAATCCACAGGCAAAATTTAAGATCAAGCTGACCATCTACTCACTTAATGAGTAGAATAATTACTATAAGAAGATCTTAAATACAGTTCATCCAGATTTATGTTTTAAGTCATTGGATACGCACGTCTTTCTTGGGGTGGGATTGAAAGGATGTTCGTTTGTGTATTTAAGTGGTTAAAAACTATTTATGCATATATGTTAAAGGATTATGTGTGTTTGTCGTTTGATAACTCTTGGATGTAGATTCTTCTGAGAAAATGACATGGTACAACTAGAATAAATTTCCAGGTATGTATCACTCTAGTATATGTTATTTATCTAATAAGGGTGTGCTTGATTTGAAGTCAAGCTGAAACAAAATATGATTCTATATTTCAAAAAATTCTATTAGATCAAATAAAATTAAACAAGAAAACAGTGTTTCATGTTTCATGTTTCATGCATAACCCAACATTTTTTTTGCTCCCTTTGCTCATAACAACGAAAAAAAATGTTATGCATGTTTTAGAGTCTTGAATAGCTATACACGCAAACTGAAAATATTTTTTTTCATTCTTCCCTATTATCAGAAAGGAGGCAAAAATATTTAGAAAAATACCCAGCGTGATTAAAAACATTTCTAGATTGCGTTTTGTATGTCTTTAACTTAAGTGGAAAACTACTTTTTGATTTCATTTAAACATTTCAAGATTAACGCCGTCATTTTCACTGCCGATATAACTGTTATATTTGCCACTGGACATATAAGAACAGTGAAGGAACTCGATTGTGTTACGCGTTTCTGTTGAAAATTGAATAAAAATCCCGCCCAATAGATAACACAAGCCTTATTCAAATGTTATCCATACCTCTCAAATTCTATTCATTAGTACCATATTCAAATTATAACAACGAAGAACTAAATAATATACCAAATATGCCCTTTTGATCATTTCAATTTCTTAAACTATTTATTCTATTAAACCACAATATTATTGCAGAAACTATCTGAGAAATATTTCTTTTTTACTGTACATATCAAAATGGAACAAACAATTTGTGCTGTACAAAATCAAAATACAACACTTTAAATTTCAAGCAAATGATATCTTAAATGGTAAAATTAAAAGCAAATTTGTGAGTGAAATATATTTTTCTCTTGTTTTCCTTATTGTATAATGTTAATGTGTTCAATATTACAAAGGAATTCAACTGAGTAGACACATTTGATATTTTGTAGATGCACAGAAGAGGAATGGCACTCAATGGAAAATATTCGTTTTCCCCCGCTTGGATACTATCCGTGACAAGATTTGCATCGGAAAACAAATTGTGGATAATGTTGTGGAATTTTAGTGAAAACGATACTATATATTATACGATGGAATTCCGACTCGCAAATAAAACCTGTTTATTAATTACAAGATATTTGGTGTTCAATGTATTACTACGAAGTCATTCCAATTTAAAAAAAAAAACTCCATTTAATATCAGCCGCCGTTTTAGTAAGTTTCATCTTCATTCAATATCGCGTTACGTCCTTTAGAACTATTTCCATGGATGAACACTTTTTTAGAAAGTGCCCATGGAAATACCCAAAGGGCAAAACGTCCGGATGAATGAAGATGGACAATAGAAAATAACTCTCCATTCCTGAAAAATAATAGAAAGTTTGAGCAAAAGATTTACGTCACAGGTGTATTTTAATACTAGTGGTCTATCAAAGTGATCAAGTCTTCAATATTAAGAACATACTTCCATTGGTCTATACAAAAACAAATGTCAACAATAACAACTTGATAGCTTTTAATGTGCATTTACTTCAATCGTTAATCACCAATTTATTCGTCTGTTGAAACCTTTCAGATTTTTCTTCACTGCCGTGTTGTTTTTACAAAGGGATGTAATACCATTACTAACCGTGTATTGAAATAAACCACATCTTCTTACCCCATATGAAATATACACGGTATCCACGCGGTTGCTTTTAACCAATTATATTCCAAGAAATGTATAGGAGGTAAGATAAAGGCTCATATTCTCTGCCAGTGTTATACATCCCGAGTCGTCAGGCGAAGGGATATAGGGCACTAACAAGAAAATACAAGACAAATATCCCCTGTGAAACCCGAATAACAATTATATTATACTGGAGATAATTGATTTCAACATTTATTTCCATATGAATTTTCGTTTTTGTTCACAGCGATGTAGACTCATATCCCCTCTCAAAGATACGAATCAAATTTCTTTTTTAGCCGTGATATTGCAATCGAGTATAAAGTATAATATATATGCATATTTTGAAAAATATATTTCTCGGCATCGGTGTTCGAAAAGGATTAGAAATCCGTATCGCTAATATCTTTAAAGAGTACTTAACTAAACATTAGACCAAAAGAGAAAACAAAAACTACATCAGTGTTTCAATCAATTTTGCATCTTTTTTCCAACAGAAATGTTTCTGAAGTTTCGATATCAAAATAAGATCATTTAAGTACAAAATGATTCTTATGGTCATTCCTTTCATGACTGGTTTATAGTCAAAAGTAAATTAACAAAAATACCGAACTCCAAGAAAAACTCAAAACGGAAAGTCCCTTCTCAAATGGCAAAATCAAAAGCTCAAACACATCAAACGAATCGAAAACAACTGTCGTATTCCTGATTTGGTACAAGCATTTCCTTGTGTAGAAAATTGTGGATTAAACCTGGTTTTATAGCTAGCTAAACCTCTCACATGTATGGCAGTCATATATAATTCTTTTATATTGACAACAATGTGTGAGCAAAACAAACAGACATAATAGGTAAAAATGTCAAAAATAGGGGTACAGCAATCAAAAGTAAAATATCAAAAATACCAAACTCCAATGAAAATTCAAATCATCGGAAATCCCTTATAAAATGGCAAAATCAAAAGCTCAAACACACAAAACAAACGGAAAACAACTGTCATATTCCTGACAACATTGTGTTATAATCTTAATCACTATAAAAACAAAAAACTATTTAGACAAAGAAAAACAAAATAGTCACAGTTGACATTAGATGGATTTGGCTATTTTTTTGTTCCTTTTGGTCCTACAGCTCCTATAGTGTACAAATATTTATACATCCTTGGATTTTTTTTTTTTTGGAATTTTCAGCGTTTCTGATGAAGGAAAATTCAGATCGGACACACCAAATTTATGAAGCATTTTTTTCGTTTTATTCTCTTGATACATTTTGATTTCCAATGTTGCGAATAATAATATTTTTGAATAAAATTTTGGAAATGTGCACATAATGCATTAGATCAAGTTCAGTTTTGTTTTGATGACATCTTTTTTCTGGCCATGTTCGTTTACGTCATCATTATCATATTATCTGCCGTGTTTATCGATCGTATGGGTTGTTTTGATGAAATTACCTGCAGCAAAGTCGTCTCATTTACTGTTATATTTAATATCATTGTAACCATACTCTGTTTCTCCTAAATATGTCTGGTGAAACGTACCGTCAACGTACGGTAGGGAACAAAATTCGTTCATATATTATACAAACTAGGCGTGCAATTGATTTAAGAATTAAATAATAGTTTATGCAAAATGAATGTCCTGTTCACAATATCTAGGTCTAAACTAATATTATTAATATATGTATTTTAAGACCAATCATCTATAAAATCTTTAAGACACAGTTTAGATTGAAGGTATTGCAGTTTGGCTGGCGTATTTATTGGGCTTTCTGTGTTGAGAATATTTCTTTACAAAAGGGGAAGGTATAATAATGCCACTATTTTAGTCCGGAATACTGAAATCTAAACGTACCAAAAATCTATCAAATCAAACATAAAAGTTCACAAAACATCAATGTCTATATTTTCAAAGTCTTTTTAAAATTTCTGCTTAAAGGCTACCAAGTTCCTTTTTCAACGAAAAATAGCAAAACTGCCAAAAATAGCCTCGTTTAGAATTCTTTCCATTACTTTTTAGATATGACCCACAACCTTACCCAAAAGAAATTTAGAAACAAGATGACTAATTCAATGATGTTAATGTAGGTAAAATACATTTTTTGGGCAAGATCTTGGCTCATACTTGATGTTGATAAACTATATGTAAAGGAGCTTGTTTCGTCAGTTTTACGTCGTCTCATTGAATATAACTGACATTTATGTGCTGAAACTTCCAGATTATATCATCTTTTCCATTTATTAATAGTAATGACATATTTGTTAACCTCCTTTAGTTTTAATATAATATTAATATCAATATATATAATCGATAAACAAGTAGTTCTATTTTTTCTGAGCCTACCGTTTATCGATGACAAGTGTTCAAAGTCTTAAAAAATAGTTCCAAAAAGTACGGTTGTTTGATAAATAAACATGAACCGCATTTTAAGATGGTGACGAAATTTCAAGAAAAAGGGTTGTCTATTTCTAAGCCTAAACGACAGGTCGAATGGTAATCATATTTTCAACCCACTTATCGCAGTTCGTTCGATATTTTATACTTTTGCTTTTGCTTATATATATATATGCGAGTTCAGATTTTTTTTTTTGGGGGGGGGGGGGGGGGGGGGGGTCCATTGAAATAGTTTTGCGTCTACGTGCTCTTCGGCAGCCAGTTATAAGAAATTTACTTACGCATCACTGAGTTATATTTTTATATATTAAGAATCTCCATTTGAAAATATTCGTGTAGAATAAAAAAGGTTGCTTAAAGTTAGGGTTAGCTCTATAGAATTGGATTTAACTAATAAGGAAAATCGGGCCATTAGTATATTGGAAGAATATTTTTAACAGTTAAAAATCTTATCAGAGATAACGGACTTGTAATGTGGTACGCCAGACTCGAGTTTCGTTTACATTTGTTTATAATTGGAAAATTACAAACCTTGACAGAAATACATCAGATCACATGCAGATAATTGCTGTATTTATCTATTATTTGTTAGTTATATTTCAATTTTTTTTTATTTTAGGTAAGCATCTCTAACTGCATATGGTGTTTACACATACAACACTCGTTCTTTTCAGAAAATATAAAATCTTTTTGAAAGAGTTATAAAATCAAGTTGAAATGCGATACTAGTCGAGATCAACTACGAATAAAAATACTGTTTTTAAACTTTAGCTACTATGATATATTGATTCTATCCTTCAATTTGATGTTAACTCTTATGAATTCTATTTTAATCCCCGGTCGTTGTGTTTGTTTTGCATCGAAATCGACAGTGCTTGAACGCGAACAGCAAAATTGATACCGAATTAAATGGTGACATGCACAATTATTTGAATATTCGATCATAATATGAGCAAGATACCAGGAGAAGATATTCAGGCACAATATAAAAATCGCATACTTCAAGTTTACACCTGTATTTTTGGAGTTAAAAGGCAGAAAGGAGTACAATATGTTATCTGTATTTAAAGGTTTTGCTCCTAATCATTTTAAGAAGATATAAAGGCCGAATACTTTTGTTAATTAAAATACTGTAAGTCCAAGTATATACTGACAAATGTGAGTGAGACCAGTCGATATCGCGACCACTGCACATGGTGTGAGAATTAGGTGCCTCAATAAAATACCATGTAAAACCAGATATTCACTCGCAACAGTTCACTGTAGAAGTCATGCTACATAAATAAGAGCAAATAGAAACCTGATATCTGAAGTTAAACTCTGCGTTTAGAAATGTCACAATTTAAATTTAAGTAACACGACGAGAAGAAGATGCGTCAAAAGTACAAAGCTCGTCGTCATTTTGTCGTAAATTCGGTCTCCAAATCTAGGTTGATCGAGAATTGATGCCACTTGAAAATAGCAACATACACCGAACTGAAAGAAATGTGTTATCTAAAGCAAGCTTAGATATTGCTTTGTCTGAAAACGTCAAGGTTTTTTTTTCAAAATCAAGGATTGCAATAGAGATGACATCATTCCAATAGCGATATCGTCCGTTCAAATATAAAATGACAAGTGACGATACTGTTTGTCGATCAGAAACTATTCAAAACTTTTAAAGGTGAGTTAAACTAAGCTAATTAATGTTAACGTCACAAAGAACTGTTAAATAAAAGCTGCATTTCCATGAAAGGAGTAGGGTTTCTAACGATCAAAATTGGCCCCATATCAAGGGTGGATGATTTTTATGTCAACAGATCTGTAAGATGTATAAGTTAGGATGGTACAGATTTGATAAAGAACTACATTACAAAAAGTCTTCTAACTTTTTTTTTTTTATGACACGTTTCTAACATATTTGTTTTATATTTGGTCTCGAACATCACTGAAGAGACATTAATTGTCGAAATGCTCACCTAGTGCAGTAAAATTGGTACGGTTAATGTTATTATAGCGCATTATATAAATAATAGATGACAGTAAATTACTGTTAAAAAACTTTGAAGCACTACGTGATTGAGAAGCAAAAGACATGAAAAGAGGCTCAAGAGTTGAAAAGAGGAAAATTTAAAAAAGAGGCAGAAGATTTGAAAAAGAGGTAGAAGATTTGAAAAGAGACTGAAGATTTGAAAAAGAGGAAAATTTAAAAAAGAGGCAGAAGATTTGAAAAAGAGGTAGATGATTTGAAAAGAGACTGAAGATTTGAAAAAGAGGAAAATTTAAAAAGAGGCAGAAGATTTGAAAAAGAGGCAGAAAACTTGAAAAAGAGGCAGAAGATTTGAAAAAAAGACAGAAGATTTGAAAAAGAGGCAGAAGATTTGAAAAAGAGACAGAAAATTTGAACATGAGACAGAATATAACAAAGGCATAATTCATGCTAGAATTTTTATAAAATATTTCAACGTGTGACACGTTTCTAACATATTTGTTTTATATCTTCAAACCTCTTGTATTTAAGGAAAAGGTGCAAAAAGGCCAATTGAGCCTCTTTTAAGATGTTTTATCATTAATTGTGTACAACTGCTTAACCATAAACACAAACTGCTATACAGATTTCTTTATTTTGTAAAACACCTGTTAGAGTATGACTGGGGCTTATGTTTAATATCGCAAAAAATGGTCAATGTATGACAAATATATCAATTTTGATATTTTCATGACGTAACAGTGATATAAAAATGGTTTGGCTGTCACCAGATTTAGAAGTTTTTAAGAAACTAACGTTCCGACTCCCTCAGGTAAAGCTGATTTTAGATGGATTTGGCTATTAATTTTTTGTTCTTTTTGGTCATAATGGTCTTTAAGTGTTGCGGTACCTGATGAAGACATATCATTTTAAAAGTGATATATTCAAAATTTTTAAGGAAAATTCAGCAAACAAATTTTAGAATATTAATAAAAAAAATTTTATACACTAACGTATCTGAATTAAACATTGCTTCTGAACTGGTTGAATATTATCATTTTAAGAAGCAGTAGTAGTAGTAGTAGTAGTAGTAGTAGTAGTAGTATTAGTAGAACAATTACTTACCAAAAGCTATACACAGTATAACCAAACAGTGTACTATAGTCCAAAACATTTTTGATTTGACTGTAGAGTAAGAATGTTACAACTTGAGTTTTATACTTTAAAAATCTCATTAGAAACCACGGAAAATTAAACCTTGCTTACACCTTATTTAATGAACACATAAGAAAACGTGTTTCTTGTAAGTTTTTTGTAATATACAATTTCACGGCTGCAATAAATGCAAGGTAATAAGTCGTGGTCAAATAGTTCTGCATATGAATAATTAAGTAAAATGAAAAGGTTCAATTTGTAATGATAATTTGTATGGCTAATTTAAAGGAGACGTAAATAATAAGTAACATATTGGCTGTATATTGACACATTCAAACAAAACAAAATGGTTTATATGTCAAAATTATTGTACAGTTGCTTCAAATCGTGTATTTTATAGTACCTTTAAACATTATCTTTTTTTTTTAAATTTACATGACTAAGTACGTGTTTTGTCAAACATTTAGTTATAGTTAAAAAAAAATCTAAATCCATGGTGTAATCGTATATTGAAGAAACAATTGCCGGTCGTTTAGAAGACAACGAATATTGAATCGACTTGACAGTGATTTTTGCATAATGTTTAGATTTTAAAGTAAATTCAGTGAGCGCCCTATTTGGGTGAAAATTAAATATAATCGTCTAGATTTCAACCACAATTAGGAAACATTGAACGCATGGTCCAATATACTAATTATTTAAGTCAGATAGGTATTGTTTTATAACACACAGTGCTAAGACGCAAATGTTAACAATATCTATTTAAATTCTGGTCATTTTTTAATGCTCCATCGTATATCGTTTACATATATATCTCAGTCAATACGTTCCGTCTACTTTGAAATTTTAGAATTATACAAGCGTGGTTCGGTTTTTAATTTGTATAACGTTGAAGATTGCTTTAGTTAAATCAGAATAGATTGATATCATTCATTTAAAATCACCATGATCAGCATGAAAGATATCTTTTATTTGAAATATTTATAGATACTTATATCTATTGTTTCCTTTTTTAAAAACTAGTCTTGTTTTGTACACTTTTTAGGCGTATATATAATTTATTTATTGTGTACAGTATCGTTTACCATACCGATCCAGCGCCCTCGTTAGAAAGATTGTTGACTAATATCGAGACGTTTTATATGTATATCAAAATTAAAAATCATGTTGATGACACCAGAAATATTATGTCAAAAGTTTGAATCATTTCAATCCCTTTTTAAAAAGTTATATGTAATAGCAATTTTACTCCACACTCAGACATAAATGGTGCTGGTGTGTTTCCTTTGTTTTCAGTAAAGTATTGGCGGCATAACATACACATAAATAGTCTATTGCATTTGATATCTCCTTATCTACTTCCGATAAGGTTCATAAAAGAAATATATTATTCCAAGTTCTGGGTTTGCAATAAATATATTTTAATGCATCTTATTTACTTTTAAGACAAACCCCGACATAGGTAAGCAAAACTTTCATGTTTATCCAATTTTGCCAATTATTTAACCGATTTCAGTAAAAGACACGTGGTTTTGGAAAAACCTTCAACAAACATGCCTTAGAATAAAAGTTTACGAACCCGAACATGTAAAAACAAGCATACACACAAATAGACTTAAAAGAACAGCAACACCTGAATTCAATTACTTTATAAACTTAAAATTTAAATTCAAAATGTATCGTTGAATATAAAGGCAGTCGAGAGAACTTTTTAAAAGATATGAAATTCTAAACATGTAATTCTTTAATTTTGATACTAGTAATATAGGTGTACCAAATCAACTAGAATCAATACTTAACCCACAGCTAACAGTCAAATTAAAACAACCGTTTCCTTCATAAAAGAGTAATTGGAACTGAGGTCACGAGACTTACTCTAAGAAGAATAACCTGCAGTAGAATGTGTCCCTATGCCTGTAATGTATGGCGTTTTTTTGCTTTTGAGAGCTGCCTACATCTTGATTGACATTTTAGTCTTATAAGCTTGATTTTTTGTTTAGTTTTTATTGGATTTTAAATTGATTTCAGTAACTGGGAGTACTCTCAGAACTGCACTTTGTGCCTGTAATGTTTTGTTACTTGTTTTTGTGCTTTGGGAGGGTTAGGCGCCCGTACACATGTTTTGTATAAAAGTGACACCTAACATCCACGCATTCCAACATCAATCTAAATTCCAATAGCAAAATATCTTATTCAGAAGTCTCCGTATACATACTATTAGTATTTTATTGTAATTATATTACAAAATAATGATCCTATGATGCTAGTATTACTAGACTTGCAGTTGCTTTACATCAATCCAAAGTTTGTTACCGTGAGTTGTCCCTTCCTCGTCGATTTACGAGATTTGAACACCGGTAAACTACTGTCTCCTTAATTTAGCTATGTGATTTTCACCAATAAATCGTAATTTGAAAATTTAGCTAGAAACAGAGGCCATACTGGAGCCTTATCGAACCTTCTTTTTAAACTGATTAAATTCTCTGATATATATATATATATATATATCAGTAACAGGTTAGGAAAAGTATATTTCCTACTTTTTCAACAAACAGGTTTACTATGTATACACGATATGATTTTTTGCGGACGCACGAAATACATTTTCATTTCCTAGCACTCGGTCGATACCCACCCTGGTAAACTGTTTGTACCCGAGGGTATCATCAGCTCAGTATTCAGTGCTTCTGTACTCACAAGATTAATTAGATATAATTCTAACATTCCCCGTTGATAAAATAATACATTATTAAAAAATAATGTTCAAACTCCCTCAGGCAAAGTTGACCTTATGTTTAACCCCGCCACATTCTTAATGTGCCTGTCCAAGTCAGGAGCCTGTAGTTCAGTGGTTGAAGTTGGTTCGCGTCTGTCATATTTGGTTTTCGTAAATTGTTTTGTTATAAGTTAGGCCATTGGTATTCTCAATTGAATTGTTTCATATTTTCCTTGTCGGGGCATTTTATAGCCGACTATGCGGTATGGGTTTTTCTCACTGTTGAAGGCCGTACGGTTGCCTATAATTGCTTACATCCACTTTATTTGAACTTTGGTGGATAGTTGTCTCATTGGCAATCATACCACGTCTCCTTATTTTTATACTTATATGAATTTTTCTTTTTTGTAATGTCCCTTCTAGTCACACCAGACGTATATTTTATACGTATTTATACGTCCCTTGCTTTTAAATTTTTGGGTTTGAGCGATGCCAATGAAGGTAAATTAAGGCGACAGTTGTTAACTGATGTTTAAATCTCGGTTTAAGCGTTTCCGATTTAAAAATTAAAATCAGTAAAATCGCGTTGGACGCACAAAATAAATACAGCGTTATTTTCATTCACACTAAACATTCAAATGTAAGAATGTGTAGTTATAGTAATAAGGTGTTAAAGATACATAACCCATATAAAGTCTTCAGTGGTTAATTAACATATGATGACTGAATCAATGATCTTTCATATCAACCAGCATCTATGAAATAAAATAAACACTTCATACATTTCATGCGTCCGTAGCGCTTTTAAGTTAGCAACACTTTTAATTTGCTGCAAATACATTACTGTAATTTTTCTAGTTTTTCTTTTTTTTTCACAAATAGGTTTTTTTGAAACAATGCCGCCAAAATAGGCTTTAAAAAAGACAAAGACAAAGTTAACCTTTTTTTGGAGTTGGCTATTTTATATGTCCCTTTTGGTCGAATTGCTCTTCGAGTATTCGAGTATTAATGATATTTTTGCATTCATATTTGTTGTGGTTTGAGCGTTTCTGATGGAGGTAGAAACGCGTTTTGGACGCATCAAATTTATCAGGTGATATTTTCATTTTTAACGAGAATACTGATATAAAAAATAACTATTCAATGTATACTCAGCAATACAAATAACACACAACTTCTTTCCATTCATTGGAGTTGGCATTGTTTTTGCTATGTTTTAAGCATAACCTTAAAATTATTCCACGTTTGCAGGGACATTTTCGTTGAAGTAGCAAAAATGTGGATTTCACCCATAAAAGATAACAAATCAAGTTTGAGATTCATCGATTTCAAATTGGTCATTAGAAATAATTTGTTTTTTAATAAAAACTGAACATCAAAGTCATTAACGTTGTATTGAGGTGAAACGATACACGCAACTTTGATATTAATAAACAAATTTCTTAAACATTTTCGTTTTAGTGTTAAAAATGAAGTCAAAAAGGAAAATCATGTTAATGACACCGGACATATTGTGTCCAAATTTTGAATCATTTCAATCACTTTTTTAAGTTATGTGTAACAGCAATTTGACTCCATAGACTGAAATGGAATTGGTGTGTTTCTTCTGATGTTCAGTAAGTAAAGTATTGGCAGCATAGGATAAACAGAAATAGTCAATTCATAACCAAACGTAGATGTCTTTGTTGTTTTACATCTAATATCATTAGAAAAGAAAAACACATTTTATTCTAAATTGACAACCTAGTCTATGGTATTTGATACTATCTTCTTCTTCTCCAATAAGGTTTGTAAAAGGAATATTTTTTTTCAAGTTCAGGGTTTCCCTTAAATATATTTGTAACGCATTTTGTCTACTTTTTAAGACAAACTACGGCACCGATTAGCAAAATTTTCATGTTTATCCAATTTTCAAAGTATTATACCGATTTCAGAAAACATGTGTATAGGGAATAACCTCCATCATACATGCTTGAGATCAAATGTTTAAGATCATGTAAACATAGTGTTAGCCTACACACAAATACACTCCAAAGACCAGCAAAACCTGAATTCAATTCCATAATACGAAATAAGTACTATACAGCGAAATATAATTTTGGCTATTCATCCTTCCCTTTAAAAAAACATTTAATCGAGTGTAACTTTAATTCCTTACATCTGATATAATTGGCACGCCCAACAAGTAAAATATTCATTCAAAAAAGGATTCATAATTACTCTCTGATATTTCCCGAATTCTGTGAAATGTCAAAATCGATTTGTTTATCACGGACTTTCAACTTTTTTTCAACAATCCATTTTTTAAATAATTTTCTGAC